AAATTATTAGATAGATAGAAATAGTACTATTGAAGAAACCACAGCAACTGCTAGTTGAGCTGCCATTTTTTTGATATTCAAGATTACTTAACTTTAACAATATATTGACATTGCTTTAATCCCTAATCACGTTGGATGACATTTAGCATGTAGAAAAAAATTATATTTTTAGCAGCATTGGTTAATAAAGAAACTGAAAGACAAATTTAAAGGGAGAATGAAATTTCAGTTTATGTGCAATATGTAAAAAAAAATCCCATTATAGTGTATTAAATATTGGAAGACTTAAGATTTTTAAATTTCAAATTATGAAAAGAAAATGCAAAAAAAAAAAAAAACATTACAAAAGAGAAAGAAATTTTCTGGAAAATGACTTGACACAAATGAAACCATAATAATTTTTCACAGACTGAAAGAAGCAAATATTGCAACAAAGAAATTTGAAACAAAAAACAAATGTCCAGTTGTAGAAAATTATATTTTAAACTAAAAGAAAAGACCATTTCAATGTTTGTATTACAAAAATTTTATCCCATTTTAAATTATAAACCCTCATACTGAAAATACAGAACACCTGCAAAAAAATAGATAGTTTAATTGATTGGCAGAATTGTTTCCCGTGTTTTACACATAATTTTACATTGGGAATGTCTGGAAAAAAACAAGTAAACCCAATTTAAGAAAACGTAATCTTATTATAAAACAATTTGATGGAATTGTCATCAAAACTCTAGGCTCCTTCGAAGGAACTTTCAAGACAAAGACATTTTGAGATTATTCCCATCACTGTTGAAGAATGCACAAAAAAATTATGGACTTCTGAGAATAGATTTTTTAAAAGCAAAATTAATAAACTGTATAAAGTCAAAAGAACCTGCCACAGTACTATTGAAAGGATATAAAGCGAGTAAACATCTAAAAGAAAATAAACAGTATTTTGAAAAATATTCAATTTTTAATTCTACCAAACTAAAGAAAATTTTAAACAAGGAATACTGTAATCATTTAAAAATTGGTAACAATTGTTCATCAATTGTTGCAATATGAAACCCAATGGTGCTTTGAGGATATGCAGGGATTAAAAAGTAGGTGTGAATCATAAGATATGCTCTGATTCATTCCCCTTACCTAACATAGAAATGGCAAGTCACGAATTAGCAAGAATTAAATACTTTGCCAAGATTGACCTAAAATTGGCATATAACCAAATAGAAATTGACAAAAAATTTTAAAGTAGTCACTACAATTAATACCCCTAATAGGCTTACTAAGATGGACTTGTCTTCCATTCGAAGTTAAGATTTCAAGCCATATTTTTTAAAAGGCAATTGAAAAAGTTCTATCGGAGGGAGTAAAAAATATAATCATATATCAAGATGATGATATAGGCATAAGTGCTTACAGTAAAGTGGAATTAAAAAAACTGAACAAGTTTTAAATAAATTAAAAATGTTGGTATGGTAATAAAATGCAAGTTAAATTGTGACAAAATATCATATTTGGATACCAAATATCTAAAGGAATTTCACCAGACAGTAAACTGATAAATAAAATATCGGAACTATCTACACCAAAAAATAAAAAAGAATTAGATATTTGCTATAAAAATTGGTCAATCCCAAAAAGGATTCTACCTAGATACAGCAACCTAATAGAACCATTTGCAGAATTACAGAAAAAGAGTACACAATTTAAATGAACTCAAAGGCAAAATATAGCTTTTAAAAGCTTAAAAAAAAGGCACCAATACGAAAACCAATTGCAAAATTCTTTGATCGAAAAAAGAAAAAAGAAGAGACATTGACTACAGATGCAAGTGAACATGCCGTAGCTGCAATTTTATCTCAAGAATGGCATCCAAGAATGTACTTGTTGAGAAAATTAACGTCAGCTGAAGCTAACTACTCAAATATTGAGAAAAAAGCGATAACAATAGTATGGAGCACAGAAAGAGCTCAATTTTTTATTAGGATGAAAATTTTTGTTAAAGTATGATCACAATTCTTTAGAGAACCCCAGAAAAGAATTACCAAAAGCTATAAAACCCATGGCCTTTGATTTCAACATCATATACATAAAGGGAAATGCTATTCCACATGTGGATGCACTATCCAGACTAAATTTCAACAGTAAAAAATTAAAAAAATCTAAAAATTCAGAAAATAAAATATGCACTGGAATGAAACGGACATGTTACTCCTAAATCGTCTCAGAATGGAAACCATATAAGATCCAGTGTTAAGTAGAATTTCAGACAGAATAAAAAGAAACATATGGAGCAATGTTTAATGGCAGAAAAAACCTACAAAGAATAAAGGCATAAGTTAACTGTAGAAAAGGCATAATAGGCAATGGAGATATAATAACCCCCCTCAAAGTTAGAATACACAACATGCTAATCTCAACTATCCAAACTTGTGCAATGAAATTCACCTAGCTGTCAAGCAGTTTCTCCCACCAAATGTCAGAGAGGCAACCATCCTTATTAAGCTAGGTAAAAAAAAAAAAAAGGTACTCATTAGTTGGATCTCCATAATTCCAACTCATTTTCCATTTGAATTCCAGTATCTTCAATTGCTAGTGACACAGTTTTATTAAGACAATAAACACTGACCTCAACCAAGCTTCTTCACTCTTTTTCTATGAACTCTGTTGGGTTGGATCTCTAAAGTTTTTATATTGGCTCTGAATGGGAGAAGCATAAATGTTATGTATTCATTTGCTTTATTTTGGGTATCAGAAATATTTTCCAGTTACACTTACGTTTTCATGTACAACTATTGTTTGTTTTCATTAGTTGTGTAAAGTACAAACAACTATCGGAGTATGTTTTTGCCCATCTTGTTATATTTGAAGCTATCTTTTCCTCTAGACAGCACCAGATTTTATTAACATAAAGATTATTCAATGATGTGACACTGAGGCTGTGAGGTGGTTAAACATTAATTCTAAGCAGTAAAAAGGTTAAGCCCAAAATGAAATATAAACTGGAAGAGAGAATGGAAGACATTTTTCCTCTAGTAATGTGAAAATGAAGAAAGGGACATCTGGGTTGCCTCACCCCTACAAATTGGAATGATGCATGAAGAGCTTACTTTTTACTTTTATCTATCAAAAATCTGGCATGCAGATAAAGCAAATTGGGAAATGGCTTTATTTCTTTCTTGGAAAAAAAAATTAGAAAAACATGTCATTGGTGAAACATGAAGCAGACAGGAATTATATTTTTCTTAGTGAAAACAAATTGAGAAATGAAAACGGAGAATGAACCTGTGAGGGTTAGGATCATGAAAATCAATGTCATAACAGGCAGGCGATCTGATGGTGACCAGCCCAAGGATGGAAAACAGTGTGTCTCTTTGTTGAGAATTTAGGTAAACAAATATATTTTCATTGGCAAAAGCAAATAAGGAAATAATATTTATCTCTTGTTTGGAAGGTTAAAATGAGGTGATCTGGTTTGTATTTTCACTGGACAAGTGGGTCCAGGAAAGGAGTCGTTAAAGTAATGACGAGAATAAATTACACTCAAGACAATTATGCCAACTCTGAGAACGGGGCAGAATTTAGCTCCACCTGTGTGGAGTGGCAGAGCAAGATGTGAAGTGAAGCAGGTTGGTGGAGGAGCAATCCCTATAACTACTCCCAAGGAAGGTGGATAGTTCTCCAAATTTGGAAAATTGATTAAGAAAGCAGAAATAGCGAACAAAGAAAACCTTTATTGGGATTAATGAAAATTGGGGAATCACCGAATACCCAGAACCCTTTGGCCCCACACCAGTTTTGGGCCGAAGTGCATATAAGCAAATGACTTTGGAAGCTCAGAGACTTTGGGCTTAGATCACACATTGAGTGCCTCTGGAATCAATGTCAGCTGCCAACCAAAATTCCCAATTACAAGACTTCAAACTCAGCTCCTCTAGAAGTTTAGACAAGGCCCAGTATCACTATAGAGACTAATGCAGGAAGGGTTAATTTTTGTTGTATCAAGAGCTATATAAACCAATTGAAGATTAACCCCACAAATCTCATTTTATTATTCACTGTGAAGATATTTTTTCTTTAATATAGCACCTGCCATGGTTTGAACCAGCACTGTAAAACTATGACCTTCAATTTTGCTCTGAGATCAAGAACACAGCGTAAGCAGAGTTGGTGTGGATCAAAGTGGACAGTGACCAACAACCAGCTTGGACAGCATTGAAGCTTGAATACACAATAAGTAAAAAAAACAAAAAACCTTTAATTGCAATATGATATCAAGGTTTGAAGATAGAGTAAAGATAGAGTAAAGATACTTTTTCAACCTGAAACAGTTTATGCATGAAAGTTTTTTTGTTTCAACCCCTTTATTATTTTTTTCACACATCTTAGCTTTGATCCTTAGTCTTCAAACAAGTAATTAGAATATATGGCAAACTCTTTTTGTTTTATATTTTATACAAATTTTAATAACATCTAACAGAAACAGATTGATTTTTTTTTTCTTTTACAGCTTATCAACATTTTGTAGATTATTTAAAGCCAAAACATATTTTTAGACCTGATTTTCAGATAACAGTCTTACTCTTTAACCCATAGCTGGTTGAAGAAGTGATAGATTCATACTTTTTTTTTTTTTTTTTACAGACATTTCAAGGAATTCATTTTTAAATTTAATAGAAATAACAGTTACACATTTAATAGTAAAAATAATAAGAATAAAATTTTCAAAATAATAAGAATTAAAAATTTCAAAATAATAAAATTAATTAAAGTTTCAAAATAATAAGAATTAATTAAAGTTTCAAAATAATAAGAATTAATTAAAATTTCAAAATAAGAATTAATTAAAATTTCAAAAATTAAAATTTCAAAATAAGAATTAATTAAAATTTCAAAATAATAAGAATTAATTAAAATTTCAAAATAATAAGAATTAATTAAAATTTCAAAATAATAAGAATTAATTAAAATTTCAAAATAATAAGAATTAATTAAAATTTCAAAATAACACTGACCTGGACAAACCCAATTAGGTAAGGTAGGTTTTTGGGCAATTTGTAAGTAATAAAGAAGTGAACCATACAGATACATTCTTACTTTCTGTTGGCTTCCACCTAAAAATAGGAAACAAAACAGGAAATGATGAAAATATTTTGCTTTTTCTATTTCAAGAAGTTTCTGTTAATTCAGAATACAAACTGTACTTTATTACTTACATGACTTCTGTATATAATCAAGAATCCCTTTCAGAACAATATGTAGAGATGTTGCGAAAAGGGTTCGTGTACCAGCCCTAGAATCACAAATGGCTGACTGGGAACTATTCTGTTGTAGCTCTTCAGTACCAACCAATGATTCTATCATAAAGCATCTCCTTAGGTTAGCCATCACAACAAGGACAACTCCAGCAACTGGAGCAGTTAGTTCTTGCAGTGTATCATTGTCTGCTACCTAAAAGAAAAAAGAAAAGTTAATAGGAATGACTATACAGTCTTACCTAGTAAATTCAAGGAATTTGATCCTAAATGAGGAGAGGCGTATTTATCCTAAATACTATTTTGTGCATTTACACACTTGCCCACAAAGGGTAGTGACAAAATTCCTATTTGAAAATTTTGGATAATACCTCAGTGTATATTTTGGTTTTATTCAAATCCCATCCTAAACTATTATTTCTTTGGTTTCTTTTAACTTTATTTCTACAATATGCTTTTATACCTAGTATGTATACCAATAAATTTGGTCATCTTGGACAAAGTCAGATAAATTTTTATAGTAGTTTATTATTATTTAATTTAATATTAGTTGTTCCAAAGCTATAACTATTACATCATCACTTTTCATGATACAAATCAAATGTAGACAATTGTTGTAGAGTGGTTTCACAGTGGATGCTTGTATTTGTACTAAGTTGGTCCTAAAATAGGTTCGATGTACAAAACGTTAGGAACTTGATATAATAGGTATAACGCAGAGATATCTAGTGGTGGTCGCCGATACTTTAATATCAGACTAACGGTCGTCCAACTTAGCGACTTTCTACTACTTATTATAAGTGGAAGAGTCTATTAACAATAGAATCGGTGTGTTCCACTATAACAACAATGTAGAAAATTTTAAAAAATATATGTTGAGGATGTATTTGTTACAAAACAAAAATGTAAAACTATAAAAACAGGAGAAAAATATTTTAGTGAGATTAGTGAAACAACTTTAAAATGACTTTAATTTTTCACACTTGGTATAAGTAGAATTACATATTCAACATTCAGATACACAAATCTCTTTTTGTACAAGAATTGAAATTTGTGTGTCTGAATATCATTGGATGTGTTAATGACAAAGTTATAAATAGAATTTTTTTTACTATTTTTTTTCAATTGTCTGACACTGAACAGATTTATTTACATTCAAATGATGTAAAAACACTATTTTTTTTATTAGTATCTTTATTACTATAACATATTTAGAACCAGAATTACCTTTAGGACCAATTTCTTTTTAAATAAACTGTACAAGAAATCTGATAACTTGTGGTACTACAATTATTCAATTGATACAAGACTTTTATATAAATTACAATTGTTTTGTTAAATAAAAAAGCTACTTTCAATATTTGTATTACATATTGTACTCTTTATAATTAGAGTTTCCTTCAGAAATCAATATTTATACATAATGGAGATTTACATGTTTTAGCCAGTTTTTAATATTATTTCTAAAGATTGTAAATTTTTCAAAAGTTTTGATAGTACAAGCCATTATGAACAATTACAATGAGGGTGCCAAAAAGATTTTGGTTTGCTCAAGAATCTCAGATAAAATTTGGTCAAAGTTTGAGAATTGGATCAAGCTCCAAAATTTTCAGCATCCCATCATAAAATACAATTTTTTTTTTTTTTTCTTTTCAAATTGCTATAATTTGTATAGTTGCAAAGATACTTCCCAGTGGTACAAAGTTTAGGGATATATGTTATGGTTAAAAAAGTATGTCACAAATGTATTTGAAATACAAAAGTTTATTACTTTATAAGAGTAAACTGTATATATTGATAGGTACTGATAAAAAAAAAAATGACAGGATACGAGTGATATAGGATTGCATAATAAAATAAATGATATAATACACAGCATAGATTTAAACAGAAATACCATTACTTAGCTCATAGAATTTGGGATTACTAGCCTGACAATTTCTACCATTCATAGTTGATTAATTAAATTTGGATAAATATCCAAATACATTCTTGAGCAGATCAAGAAATATAAACAAAATTTTAGATTCTATCTAAAAAGGAGCTATCTGGTTTCCCCTCAGCTGTTTAGTCACTGATAAGAAATTCTATAAGGGATAGATCAAAATTTCATAATTGCTGAAGAAATATTTTAGTCAAAACAAATGTATTCATTCATTATTTCTTTTTGATATTTCCCAAAATCAACTCAGTCAGCGATGCATCTAAACTCCTTGATACAAACTACATGTGGTTTCATTACCACAATTATCAGAGACACAAAGGTTCAGGTGTAACTTTCATTTCAGAAAAGTAATTTTTCTATTTGTGTTATAGAAAGAACACATATTTCCAAGTGTACTGATTATCACTTGAAATTAAATTTATCTACAGTTGTTACGAGGATGCATTTCTATAATAAGAAAATCTCAATAAGGTTAAAATTTATAGTAAGGGATTCTACTGAGTCCTACCTGTTAGTAACAAAAAAGTTTTCTTTCATGAAGTAGATATAAAATAGAGAAATTTGAAATAGAATGTTTGGAAGATTCTAGATCATTCTAGTATATTCGAGAAAAATCTAGATGATTCAAGAAACATCTAGAAATATGCAAATTAGGTGTTAGCCCTTATAAAAATAGGATTTTGGAAAAGGGTTGTCAGTTGATGAAGGGGAATTTCTGCTGTTATCAACCCCGGCTTTTGATTCGAGGACTATTATATCCAACCGAAAGAATCTCTATAAAAAGTTGCCGACCAACAAAAACCCAAAAGGGAATTTCATGGAACAAATTTGGCAAATTGAATTTTGACTAATTTTCATTGACTAAACTAAAAATTAATATTTATTTACACACCTTTGTGGATCTCCAAATATAGCACTTAGATTACTTCGCTAACCCTAAAGTGATAAAGATATTTGATTCACCTTCCTCCTCCCTTACTTTGCCAGTAACTCTGTGTTTTCTGTTTTGTAGGCCACATTTGTTTATCTTGTATATATTTTTTGTTCTGTTTTAGTAAATTAAATATTTGTTTGTGATTTAGCTGTGTTTTGGTAAATCATTTTTTTTTCTTTGTCACAATTATCAACACATAACACAGTTAACATCCATTTTCTTAAACTTTATAAGAATATTTTTTTGAAAATATACTGTTTTTCTTTCCATATTTGTTGACATAGCATATATACTAAGATTTGAAAAATATCTATGAAAAGTAACAGATTTATCTCATAAAATAAGATGCACACAATTTTAAAAAAAGGAATTTTTATAAATTTGATGTATATGACTAATTTGATTATCTATTTCATTTATCTTAAAATAGAAATGTTATATTACTGTAGTCACTTTTGCTATATAAAATAATGTATAAAAGATGTAATTATTCAGTGAAGTTTGTTTAAATACATAAATAAAAATTTAACAAGGTAAATGCAATGAATGAAGCACATCATAAATTTGTAAATCTAGAAAACTTTTAATGATGATTTTACATAAAACAGGAATGTTTAATCATTCAGTGTAATACCTTGATCAGCAAATCCTGTAGCAATTCAAACAAAAGAGTTTGTTGGCTTTCTTTATCAAGCAGTTCATGAGAGCAAGTAGTGACAAGTACTTCTGTAACCTGACGCCAGGAATCAAAAGCTGCATATTTAGAATAAAGGTTTTCATTCATATTGTTACGGGCAACTACTTGTTCAAGAATCATTTCTATTTCCTGCAAAGACAGAAAAAATTGAGCTGGTAAAATTGACAAGGGCAATAAAAATTACTGAATTATACTAATATTTATTTATATTTGATATCCCAATTTCAATATATCTAAAAACCATTAATACAGGAATAGATTTCTAGACAAACCGTAAATAATGGTACCAAAATTATTCATAACTGATTTTCATCTAATATGCTATTGGAAAAAAGCCAATATAAATAACGTATAATTGAAGATGAAAGCTTTAAACAAGTTAAAATTAATGACAAATGTAATGTCATATAGATAGTATTAAAGTAAAAAAAAAAATAAATACTAATGAAATCAGTAATTAAACATTGGGGGAAAAATTTTTTTTCTCAAAAATAAAACTGTAAAAATATAACACAGAAGGGGCAAATTGGATTAATTATGTAACTTTCATTTCAACAGTTAATGATTCATAGCACAACAGAGATGAAACTAATTTCTCAGTATTACCTCAATAAAAATAAATAAAAAACTATATTTACTCCACATAAAATAGCCATAATTTGGCAGTTGGACAAAAACAGGTTAAAAGTATATTATATATATTAAGTATAAAGTATATTATATATATATATTGTCCTAAATAGTATCCATTCGAGGCATATGCCTGAAACATTACTAATTTTGGAATGGGGAATTCAACAAAACAGCTCTTTCCACTGTAATATAAATACTTTTCATAATGTAATATAAGCATCTTATTTTGGAAAATTGTGAAATTATGTAATTTTCAACTCATCAAAAAAAAAAAAAAAAAAAAAAAAAAAAGACAGCAATGACTATAAAACTTAGAAATTTGTTTTACAAAAGGAAAACAAATACTTTATAATAGAGCTTTAAACTTTTTTCAGTTTTAAACTAATAGAAAATACTTCCTAGACATTGTGCATGGTTCTCTTGCACTTCCTAATGGTGATTTACCGACTGAATTTCCTTATAAGCCTCTGATATGGCTAATATTTCTGGAAGAGCCATTACTTGAAACTGGTATTACATTAAAGTCCCATCTAAAAACAAATGTTGATTCCACTTGTGAAATATCAACTGACAAAGGTCATCGGAAATAATCATTTCTGATCTTTGTTGGAACTTTATCACAGCACTGAATGCAGATGCAATATCAATGACTTGGCCAATGTAAAAGATAGTCATAATATACTGCAACCCATTGGCCCTGGTGTTCGTAACTGAAGATCACAAAGTGATTATTCATCACAACTGCTAGAGATTTTTAAAATACTCAGAATCACTGAGTGCCTTTTCTTCATTTCTTGTCTTAAAAGGTGGAGATGAATCAACTAATTTTTCTGTTGTCAAGTTATTGCAAAGAGCAGCTTCCAGCTGAGATTTACTTCTATTGATGTTGATCTTCATACCTAAGAGAACTATCAGATATCCAAAGTTGATCTTTCAGTGCTTCCAGACCGCTGCCTGCTGTTCGTCTTTAATGGACTTCACAGTATCACCATGTTTGATGACCGAGTTAATGACTCCATTTCTCTGCAGAAGCTTGACACTTTCTTTCATTTGGCTCTCATTTTTAGCAATGCTTTTTTGCACATGAAGTTTCATAAGTACTTGTTGCTTGTGTGTCAGATATTTTGCATTATTTCTTGAAATGACAAGTTGCTGTTCTTGTTTCCAGCCAAGCTGTAGTCTGGTTGTACTTAAGCATGTTTGAGTTTGATCAATGGTGAAGTGACGCATATTATTTTTTGTCAGTTCCATTCCCAACTTTGAAATATTATTAAAACATGTAAATTTTGTAATGTTTAGGATGTTTGAGAATTTTTTTTATGCTTACATAAAAGAAAAATCCCTGGAAAAAAAAAAAAAAAAATTTTCATTGGGAGTTGGTACTTGCATAATTTAAAATATTTTCTTTCATATTTGACACAAAACAATCTATATTGAATATCTATTTTTTAAAAATTTACTTTTAATTTTTCATTGCAATTCTTAAATTGCTACAATAAGGGATTTTTCTATTAAATGAAGATATCTTTTTAAGAATTGAAAAATGTAAAGTTTAATACAAATTTCGAGTGTTAACATTAGAAGGCTACTGTGGTTGTGAAAGCTCACAGATTACCATACATAAATGAACTTTATTTTGACTGTTTTAAGCAAAAAATAAGTATTATTTTTACAAAATCTAGCCGTTATTCAATAATTTTACTAATTTACTTTGAAAGAAAAGACAAATACTAGATTTTTAAATGTGTTATTTTGTCTTCAAGAATGGAGATTTAGTGAGTGACCAGAGCAATATTTTAAAAATTTCTTAAAAAATTAAAAACTTATTTAAATATGTATAAAATATTGTTTTATTTTGTCCAAACTGTCAGTTCAAATTTATTTTAAAAATAAATAATGTTTTATTTATAGTTTTAAAATGCGCTATTAATGAGATAAAGATTTAAACTATAATATCGATCAATAAAACAAATCTGATTTAAAATGGGATCCAGCTGGTGGTATTCAGTCAATCAGCAATACAAATTTCAATGCATTGGACCAATCCGTTTTACACAAAATGAATACTGTATATACCCTCCTTTTGACATAGTTTTGCATTTTTTTTTTAAATATTGAATTTCTCTGGTATTTCATCTACTAAAATTTTCAACTTTGAAATTTTTTTATTCACCCACCAAATTGATGAGTGTCCTTTTTTCTTTAAGATTGGATTGATATGTAAACAAACAATACAGAGTGCAAGTAATTTGAAAAGCACCACTATGAAATAGTCAACTTTGAAAGAACAGAAAAATCACTGTTACTGAAATAACAATTTAAAGAGATGTGAAATAAAAACTAATCATCACACATGAAAAAGAATTCTATCTTCAGAAAGAGAAAAGATTAAATTTTGTTTATATATTAATCTTATCAAAATAACCACAAAAAGAAACAAGATCAGCAAATGAAATAGAAGGAAATTTTACTTTGTCGTGTAAAGTAGGGTAGTTTGGTATACCTATTTATGAAATAGGCAAAGTCTGACAATTATTTTAAGACATTTTATGTTTATACATTATTTTTATAGATACAAATGTTTAAGTAAATGCTCTGTTTATAATAAACAGTATTAAACATTTACTGGCCTGAATGTCCGAGAAATTTTCATAGAATATTATAAACAGAGCATTTACTTAAATATTTGTATCTATGAAAAGAATGTATAAACATAAAATGTCTTAAAATAATTGTCGGACTCATCCATTTCATAATGTGTGATGTCATTTATTTACATTTGATACGCCATGAGCAAATATGAATGTCGTATATCCCTTAGATTCATGGATGATTGAAGTTTAAAAAGCACTAAATTTGCCCTTGCTAACTGAATGATCCTCTGTATAACATTCGGTTAAAAGACAACGTCAAATATTTCAGTTCCATATAGGATAAAGGTTTGAATCCTGTTGAGGAAAAATATTTTCTATGAAAATTTCTCACATTCAGGCCAGTAAATGTTGTTTAATACTGTTTATTATAAACAGAGCATTTACTTAAATATTTGTATCTATAAAAAGAATGTATAAACATAAAATGTCTTAAAATACCTATTTATATCTAGAATTATTCATTAGAAATAAATCTTTAATAATCATTTGCTTACAATCATTTATTAGATTATATACGAACAAACTTTGACAAACCAAAACTATTAAGATTATCTTTGTTGATTTATGAGTCTTGTCACAGTTTAATCGATATAATTTATCAACATCTTTGGAAGTTATACTGAATCTATTCTGATAGCAAAGGAATATTTTTTTAATTAAGTCTTTCACTACATTAGAACATCTTAATATGAATGTATACAGAGGAAACTTTATTATATGTCACTTGATAAACATTAAAGGTTTTGTCAAAGACATAATTTTAAGAAAAAAGAAAAATATAAATAAATTCTTTTTTTTCATTTACTAACCCTCAAAATAAGAAACTTCTCAATTTTTTTCTTTTTTAAAGTAGTTCTTTTTAAATTATTTAATAAAATGAATAAAATTTTGCAGAAAATTTAATCACATATTGAAGATTCCATTTTTTTGATTCGTTTAAAAGATTTTATTACTTGTTCAACCAAACGTTCTTCAAAGAATTCAAATCAATGCATTTTACGATACATTTCAAGAAAAATTTAAAAATCCAAAATAAGAATTTTTATATATATAATGAATATAAATTATAAAGAAAAGAAAAAAAAAAATGTTTAAGTGATACATTTCAATACAGATTAGAGAAGTATTTTAACAAAAATTAAATAAAATGCTGTAACTGCTTAATTCTGTTGTTTAAAGATAATAAAATTAATCTATTTATATTAAACAAATAAATTATATTTATGCAGGAGAAAAATGATTATATGCTATTTTTTATAACATGATTGAACTTAAGCACATATGTCCACATTAAGAATAGTGAATTATGATCATAAAACTAAAATGTAATTTCCTTTACTTTATCAAATTATTTTGGTTATAATTTAGTATTTCTGAAATGAGTAATTGTCAATATTCTTATATTATTTTGAACTATTGTTCTTATCTCGGTTGTTATAGATGTTATTATAGGCACAATGTTTTTTTTTTTTACCCACTGGTCAAACATCAGGTTTCCAAATGATTGGCAAATATGGGATATTTTATATTGATTATTGTGATATTTTGTTATCTATGAAATCAAATATTGTTCATCCCTGCTGAATTGGTGAATCACTACCAGATCATGAACATAGATGACAGTAACACATGTATAACCAATTATATCTACCATGCCACTCTCCTGAAGGACAAATTCAAAAGACAAATTAATATCCAATATCATCTCAAGAGTTATTAATATTGTTGTTTTACTATATATTTTCAAGTTCTAAATAAATACATAATATTACTAAATCAGTAATGTTTTCGGAAAAAAAAAACAAAAAAACTAACCTGTCATATTAATTAGATAAAATTTATTGTTGGATATTGAAAACTGAAGCAAATTTTTCCACCACCATAAATATAAAATCATTTCCTCAGATCCATTTTCCCTGCATTACTGTATATATATATATATATAAAAAAAAAAAAAAAAAATAAAAAAAAAAAAAATTTATACCTGCAAATTTGAATTTAAAAAAAAAAAAAAAAAAAAAAATTCAAATTGAACAAAAAAAAACAAAATATCAAATCATCCACCAAATATATATTCTATCGATTATATACCAGAAATTTGATCCACATCAAATATCCTCCAGCAACAATTTCATCAAGTTCATTTGTTAAAGAACCAAACTATTCAAAATGCAAAATTAAAATTTCAATTCAATTAAAATATTAAAAAAAACCATGACTGGTTTTTTCTCCTCCCCTTTCTAATATATTAAAATTAAAAAAAAAAATAAAAAGAGAATATATGCTGTTTGTAGAATATCAGATATATTTCATATATAATGGAAGATTTATACATTCTTTATAAAACACAAGTACTGAAAAGTTGTGAATTTTAAAACAATTATAAAACTGTTTCAATAACAAGTTTTAAATTTTTAAAAAATTAAAAATTTCCAAATCATCACTTACTATAAGAATCACCAGTGAAAGGCAAATGTTTCAACTGTCTGTTAAAATGCTTTTTTGTACAGTCAGTTAGATTATTGTTGGAAAAATATAAGTTTCTTTTGTTGGAACAAAACAGCATATAATTCTGATAAGCAAGCAACAGTTCTAAAACCTTAGTTTCTAACTTGATAATACATTAATCCTGTTTACTGTTCCTACAAAATTAATTCAAAATTGTTATCAAAAGAATGGAACACGTTCTTGTGCTCAAATGTATTCACCTTTCAAAAACAGTAACAGCATTCAAATTGACAAAATATTTGAATTCATTTAAACATAATTCTGATTATAAAAAGAAAAAAAATTCATAAAAATGTTAATATATAAAAATTGAAAACACAGACTTTATAAAAAACTTTAAAAAAATTCTATAACTTGTCTAATAATAGGAGAAAGGCTAAATTTGTTTGTAACTAGAAAATTTATCAACACAGCAACTTCAAAATCAAAAAATGAAAAAAAAGAAAGATATTTGTAAGAAAATATTTAAAAAGTTCATAAATTTTACATCGATAATTTGATTTTTAAAACCAATTCAAAAAAAATACTAAACTCAAATAGGTTTCTAATAAAATTATATAATAGAATATTTTATATATATAATATTGAAATTATTTCGAACTAAAAATTATTTGATTTTCTTTTTTATTTCTAATGTATTATTTATAAGCACTGAAAATTTGAAAAGTTAAAATGATACTGCTAAGTGATAACAAAAGATCAGTGAAAAAATGCCAAAACAATGAAAAATAAAGATTATCATAAATATAGTCACATGCAAATAAAAAAAAAAAAAAAAAAAAAAAAAAAAAGAAAGAATAATAATACCAGGATCTTGAAGATTAGTTTTGCTAACAGGCTTTCTCAAGTCAAAACCCATCAAAAAATGCTTTTTTTTCTGCAGGATAGTTTCAAAAGAGTTCATAATAATTAATCAATTTGTTTTCTCATGGCATTACGAATTCCTGTCACACCTAAGTTTTCTGTGAATAAAAAAGACAATATAAAATTCAATAATAAAAATGTATATTATACTGAAAAGTGTGAGTGTAATCCTGGAAAAAAAAAAAAAAAAACAAAAAAACAAAAATCATGACAAACAATCTTTCAGGAAACCAAGTCCATTATTTTGTTTGGATAATTGAAAAATTTCAAAACAATAAACTGGATTTTTTTTCATTCAGTAATTTTTAAAATATTCACCAGGAGTTCCAAAAGTTGTAGTATGACATTTTATTTAATGGTTTGGAGTCTATCATAAAAACTTAAAAAACATTTCAAATGGCAAGGCAGATAAGGTCCAATTCAACCACTGAGGTACCAAAAGTCACTTATCATGTGTACAATAGCCAATTACATACTTGGAAATAAATTGTTATATATTGAATAATTTGTATTAGATAAAGATGATTTATGATAAACTATTTGGAGGTCAATTTGGATTCAAAATGTATTTTATTTTAAAATAAAAAAAAAAAAAAAAAAAATATACAATATGATTTTATTAAAAATTTATTTCTGGATACTTTTGGAGCTATTTAGAATCCAATATATTTGTTTTAGGCATTAGAATATTTTTCAGTTAAATTTCATTTTTCATGTATTTTTGAATTGAAGATATTTGTTAAATATTTTCTGGAAATTTTAATTCAAAATAAATACCTCATTAAAGAAAAACAATGTTTTTTGTTAGACTGAAAGTATACTGGTAACAAGGGAGAATAACAACTTCAAACAACCAATTTCTTCCATTTCTCTGGCTTAAAATTCAGTCAGTTGATAAAGACTTGGATATTAAAAGACAAAAAAGCCAATTGTGTTATATTGTTTTGTTTGTTTTTTTTCATGATAAAATCTCATTAAAACATTTTCCACGAATTCATTTGACCATCATGACAAGACAAAAAGAAACCCTAGATGTCCAAAAAGATGATCCTTTCCCAAATAGGAACCGATCCATTCAATCAATTCTTACGGTCAAATCACGCTGAAAACACCGGTTCTCGTTCGATCACCGAAGTTAAGCATCGTAGAGCCAGGTCAGTACTTAGATGGGGGACCGCTTGGGAACACCTGGTACTGTAAGCCCCCAAAGTCCAACCCTTACCTCACAGTCGGTGGGGGGGGGTAAACGGTAGTGTCAGAGCTATGCCGCCCGGAACTTTGTTCCTGGTAGGGCCACCCAAGGCGGACAGGTCTGACACACACGCCGGCTAACAAGGGCTCTGGTGAAAATCCAAGGAGCGTCTGCATTGGTAACCGGCGGCTTCTGGTCGTTCCTGTCTCTGCGTCTGTGGGAATCCCGCGGCAACCTGGGTACCCTACTTCTGTAATTTATCCTAAGAACCTTCTTCTCATAACAGGAAGAAGCCGGCTCAATCCGCCCAGGGTGAATGCCGCATCAGTCAGTACAGTAGTACAGTAACTGATCACCAGGAACATAAGAATTCCTGCAGATGGAAATATCAGATGATAATTGAATTAAGCCATTTGGGCTAGACCATGCCTAGCCTCTGAGAATAGGCTTGATTGGGGGACAGAGAAAGAAGTAGAGACACAGGTAGAATTTCAAGGAAGGCAGAAGCATCACGTGCACCTTTTGGGCAGTGATTTTGACAGCCACTCACATGAGATAGAAGGAGCTGGGCTGATCAATATTCTGTCACCACACTTTGGGGTTGGGATCTCCCTAAATTTGGTCAAGCAATCAATTTCCCAAAACCAGACAATGAAAAGCTCTGTATAGATGTTGGGGTTTCCTGGAGAACCACCTCATGTCCACTGTTTGTACAAATGTCCATAAAAGAAAATGCGATAGACAAAAAGGGTATAGAAACCAGACAGAGTACATGTTTTGTGTGAGATCACATGCCTATAGACTATTCTGATGAACTTTGTCTCTATGATACCATGGTTCAAGACACACTTTACCAAATCCCACAAAACTTCTGCAGAAAGAACTTGTTCCAGAATACCAAATACAACTGAAGGGTCGGCCCGAAGAAATCACTGAGTGGAAAAAATCAGACTTCAATCTTGTTTTCAGTTTACTTTGAAGCATGGCTAAATGTGTAAATGTAATTATTAAGGTTATGAAAATATTCATGTTGTTAATTTAGTGAGTAGAACATTCATTGTATGAACCTTTGATATAAAAGTTGTTGTGTGTCTTAGATTTTTATTACTTTGTTCTTTTGTAATGTCATCTTGCCAAAAAAATAATCTTCAGTGACATTGGGTATATGACTCAAGCTTCATCTGCAAACATAAAATAATGTGGGTAGGATTGAGGGTCAGGGCGACCAACTCCAAGGGTGGCCATAGGGATCAACCACGGACTTGCTTTTAAACTGTGGTGGTGTGTAACGTCATTATTTTAATTACAAAAATACTATATTAAAAGAATATAATTTTTCTTGTACTGTTATATTTTAAGTTATTCCCTTCCACACTAATAATACTATTTGATTTCATGATTTTACAATCTCAACTTCATATGCAGAAAGATATTTTTATTCCTTTTGGTCAACATTACTTAAATGATTGATTAATTTGAGGTAAAGAATGATAGCAAAATCACTTAAGTTGCTCTGTTGAATTTGAATACATTAAAGTTTTACTAATTTAAGTTGATTGATCAATGGTCAACTGCAGTACAATAATTTAAAAAATTAATGTAATACTTGAAAATAAATTTGCTTCACAATAGAATATCAATAAAGAAAATTGGTGTCAACTTCCAAATTAAACAATTGATGGAATGCCATTTTATTTAAAGACATCACTGAAACATGACATATGAAGAGAAAAAATATAATACAAAGACAATTACAGATTCTATTGTAAACATTTAAGAAAAAAAACTGATCAAAAGATAAGCATTAGAATTATGAACATTTTAAAATATACCAAAACTTGATTAGAAATATTCAGATATAATTTAATTTTATTTTAAGAATTCAAAATGAAACCAAACAGATCACATTAAAGTTTCGCTCCATTTTAAGACCATACAAAAAATAAAAATTTAGAAAATACTTTAAAAATTTTAAAGACTATGATTAAAATACATTTATGGGGATAGACACAAGAACATTAAGCATTTGAAAATTCTGAATTCAAAATATTTACCTTGATTTTCAGCTTGATTTGTTTCTTCTTCTTCTTCATTTTCTAAACATTCAACAAATCCTTGTAATAATTCTCTGTGTGTGACCTAAAAAAATAAATAAACCAATTTCTATCATATAATTTCAAACAACTACACATTTTTTATAAATTAAATACAATAATTAATACTTTTATAAAAATCCAAAAAGTGGTGCTTACAAATGTTATAATTTTTTTTCAAATTGCAAATTTACAAAATGTGAAATAATATTTTATTCCTTTAAGTATTTGGTATATAAGTTAGATAAAATTGACTGAAAATTTATAAAATCAATTGTTCACAATTTTTCTGTTTAAATTTCCCAAAGTTTAAATTGGAGGATTTCATTACAACTGTTAATGTTAGAGAGAATGACTATATAAGCATAAACATATCAATAGGTAGAAAAATGGCATCATAGAAAAAAATAACAACCACAAAACAAAACAGAAATTCAAGCAAATGACTAATTCTTACTATTTAAACACAATTTCAAAACCTGTTGCAAAAACTAATTATCATCGACTCACATTGCTTGTAGAGATTCTCATGATGGTCGCCATATAGTATGGTTTTTAAGGAAATACAAACAAAAAAATACTAGAAGGGAGACAATGAAAGAAATGATTTATCTTGAAATTATTATACTGTAAGTACTTCAAAATATAAATAAATTGAAAGGGACTTAATTTTATGATAAAATTGATTTCAAATTCAAAATTAATTAAAAAAACAAAATGCATTTATATGCCCTGAAAAATCTTATGTATGATTGAAAACTAGATGAAGGTTTTTATTTATAACAGACATCTTTCAATGCTCCATCAAATTGAATGAAGGCTTATAAAAGTTCATTAATGTCAATTTATAACATATTTCTAAATGATTACATTAGAAAATATGAATAAAAAAATTTGAATTACACATGATCATTTCTGATTATGAATATACCAAATTATTTGATACACAATGAAAACTTTCACCAAAAAAATCAAGATGTACACAATGAAGAAGCAGAAGGAATGTACATGCTGCAAATCTACTACTTTCCACCATTTTCTTGACACAATATCTTAAAACTTCATTTATACCCCAATCAGTTGTTTTCACACAAGTTAGGAATGATTCATGAAAAATGTATTGAGTGCAAGAACCATTATTGATGGTTTTTATGAAACTTTTTTTTATTCTAAATGGTCAAGTAGCTCCAAAATATTCCCAATTTATTGACAGCCCATCCATATTAAATTAAGCAAGTTTTCCAAATTCAATCCATTTGTCACTTGCAAGATAGCAGACAAGTTGCTTTGCATTTGAACACACACAATTCTATTTTCAAAATTGTGTGATTGCTGATGAATTTGGTGTAAACAAAAACAATTTCAGTGCTTGTATTTTAAATGTTGTGTTCTTAATGGATTCTAGCATTGTAGGCATTTCAAATTTGAAATCTATGATCATTTTCTTCTGCAGCATATTACTAAAAGACCAAGTAATTTCAATAGATTTATGGTCTATCTGATCCCTAACAAGCAACTTTACACAAAACTCTGAAGTTAGTCAATGAGAAATCCATTGAACATTTACTGAATATATAACCAAATGAAACCGCAGATTTTTGAAATAATTAAATTATATTTTACCTCATTTGTAGTAAAAAGTGCAACCAAATCCGATTGGACAGAAGCTGACCGACACACAAGAAACAAAATCTTCATTGTAGAAAGTGCATGTTCATATAAATGATCATTATAAAGAACAAATCTGAAATAAAAAAAAAGCACATTTAAGTAAAATTAACAGCTTTCAAATATCTAATAAAAATAATTGTTCTTAGTGTCCAAATGCCTAATTTTTCAAAGATTTTCTTTAAATTTGAAAAGGTTTAATATTCCTAATCAATTATTTAAAATTAAGTCAAAGTTTTTTTAAATATTAAATAAATGAAGTATATACATTTATTTGATAGATGAATGAAAAAAAAAAGAAAGAAAAGAAAAAGTGATGTCTCATAATTCATAAGTTACTTACACAGCACCATATACATTAATTAATTTTACTCCTGTATCATTAAATTGGATTCATAATATTTTTCAGCTCATTAATTACAAGGTGGCTTATTAGTTTCAAGCTTTAAAATGGTTGAAAATTAACTAAGCAAAACCACCTGAAATAAAACCTGTAAAAAAAAATTTTTAAAAAATCAAAATGAAAACATTTTTTTAAAAGGTATTTATTGCATACTTAATAATGTTTTTACCAAGTGGTCTGGTTTTCCTGTGGATGGATTTATAAGTCCCAACAGTTTACCATCCATTTAACAAAATATGTTGAGGAACCCGATTCTCGAAGAGCAGCAAGGAAACCATCTTCTTTTTCCAAAGTAATTTCAACCAAACGAAACATTAAAGACAAGCTTTTTTTTTTGTTTTACCTCCAAAAAAAAAATTTAAAATAAACCTAATTAGATTGATTTTGGCAACTGACATCATTTGATATCTAGGAATTTTACGATAATCTTTTTCGTGTTCTACCAGATCTCAAAAGTTAGTTAGGCTGAGAATGAAAAGTAGTAGTAGTGTTCATGTTAAAATGCCATATGTAGTTGAAGAGTGTTTTTATTAGACAAAAATTATTCTATAATTAAGATTCATTTCAAACCCAATTGGTAATGGATATATTTGTGCATTTTGCTACACTTCAAAATTTAAAAGTCTATAAAGGCTTATTTTTCTCTTTGAGATAAATTTTTGAGGCTAATAGATATTTTTAGAAACCTATGTAAAAATTTGTTAAAATTGTTTAAAAATAAAAAATATTTTTAGTACAATATAATATTTTGTAATTAATAATTATTATTTAAAATAAAATAAATTTATCTCTATCTATAAAAGGCAGGATGTGTGTAACAAATGCATGGCTGCAATTTGATGGATTTGCACCAAAATTTACATGCACATGCTTCAAGTTAGCGGGAAGGCCAAGACCGACTTTGCATTTCCCAACTCCCATCGATAGTGGAAATAATCGATTTTTTTCATGCTTCTACAGCAGTTTTCATGTAGTTTGCGGCCATTTTGTACTTGGCCAGAGGAGAGATAGCTGGCTGCCATGAATAGGCAGGGAGATTCTATTGGCCAGCGTGAGAGCCAACAGCTGACTGACACAAATGTTAACTAGCATGCAAAAATAAAATTTGATAGCTGCATTCGTCACAAGTGGGAAAAATTTAAATCTGCATGGCACTTTACTCCAATTGGCTCATTCGCTTGCTTAAACTCAACGTTGATTCTGATTCCGCAGAACTGGGTTGGGTGTGAAAAAGTATTTGTTGTTAACATTCTTTTTTCATTCGGTTTTTCCAGTTAAGAGTCCTTTTTTAAAGCTGATCGTTTTGTGTTCATTTTGTTTAGTTCTTTTTTCGTAACAGATTTAATGTTTAGTATAGAGCTTAGAAAAAATTCGCAGTGTGAGATAGGCAAGAAGTAAGGCATGTAGCAACATCAGCACGGCAAAAGGGTACTCCTTTAAAAGGCAAAGAAGGGCAAAAATATTTTAAGTGTATGAGTCGATGATTTTGAATCAATTTTGAATCAATTTTACCGGGCCATGTTGCTAGTTATTAAGTTAAATATTAAATTAATCTAAACCATTTTGTTAACAAATATTTACTTATTGTAATTTTTTTCATCTGATCTATGCAAAATTTCAAATTTCTTAAAATTTAAAACTCATAATTTAAAGTTTAAATTAAGGTATGTTTTCACCAACTTGTCTTTCAATTTTGAAAAGCTAAATGTCCTGAACAAAGAGCTCCAAAGAAATGGCTCCACCCTGTTTTCCTGCAAGGAGGCAATTAACACATTTAACGGGAAATTAAAGCTGTTCTGATTGAACCTTGGGAGACGAGAGTTTGCAGTTTCCTCCCTTAACAAATATATCCACCAAATTGCTTGATGACCTAGCAGTGTATGTTGATCATTTGAAGCAGGTGCATAATGATATGAAAACTCACTTTTTGATCTACTCTAAATGACAACACCACACTAGTTTGCGGATCCCTTCATTACTGATGCAAGAACTCAAGTTGGCATGAGGGGCCATAAAGAACTCGCATTGGATTGAAGGGGGCCATGAAGGTTGAGAAACATTGGTCCATAGGATCAATTGTTGGGACAAGTTTTTACTTCAATGTGTGATTCTTTTGCATTAGTAATAATTCATTTGAATGTATTTCATTAAAATAGTCACTGATTTTATTATCCAAAAGATCACATCTGGTCTGTGATAAAATGCTTTTTTTAAATTTTTTTTGGGAATAGTTTTAAGAACACTTCTGAACAGATGAGTCATAAGATTCCAATCTTATTCTTTGTAATGTAACTGATGATTGTAGGAAGATGATGAATTATTATTAAATACTTAACTAGTTTGCCAATTTTATATTCACAAAATGTTTAGTTACTAATATTGGATTTTTAGCAAGGTTAATGTATTTAAAAGTATGGTTAGTAAGTCACTTTTTTGTTTTTTAATAATAATGTAAAAAATTTTCAATGAACATCATTGACAAGCATTTGGGGGTGGGGAGAAGAGGAAGATGGAAAAATGGCGCTTTTCGTATACCTTCAAGTATTAAAAAAAGAAAAAAAAGACAGATACTGAAATTTTGTTCTGAACCACTTCAGTTACAGATTTCATTACAATCAACTATGTTGTCAACAAGCTGACAAGTTATAAACTGCACTTATTGGAGACATTCAGATCATTTTCTAATAAAAATAAAAATATAAACGCATTAAAATTTTTTAATTAGCTAAGTAAAGCCAGTTATTATTTAACATTTGATATCATTTCTGATGGCCAAAAATTAATTCAGAAAATAAAAGCATTATCATATTGAACAGATAAACATAGCATCAGTGATGAGTCAGTCATGCAACATTTAAATATTGCATAACTTTCCAACATATTTTAATTCCTTACATAAAATATAGTAGTATAAATATTAATACAATGCTTAAAATATGTACTGTAGCAATACAAGTATTACAAAATGGCCTGGATAAAAATAGTTAATTTATTCTTCCGAGCATAGGTGATATCTACCCACATGTTCCCTTGTCATTTGTGAATTGCTATGCATCCTTGGGAAAGATTGTGGAGATGTTTACTTTTGCCTTCTCCATGCTTAATAAATAAAAGGACCATAAAATTAGGTGGTTGGGATTCTAACTAAAATTGATTCAATATCTACCTTTTATTTTTATATCCAGTCTTTAAGGGGGCATTGAAAATTGATCAGCATAACCAACTTCCCAAAATTCAGTATTCTGATGTTTGATCATTGCATTTAGAAAATGTGATGGGCTGAGGTGTACATCAAATCATTGCATTAGTTCAAACAACTTGCATACTTGTGAAATAACTGCCTATGAATTGGTAAAATTCAACAAAATATTTAAAGAAAATTAACTAGTTTTTTTTTTTTTTTATTTAAAGAAAAGAAATTAATAAATAGCTTACGTGATACTACATACCTTCACAGAATTCTTGAAGATTTTATTTTAATTTTAAATTCAAGCTGATAGATTAAATTTAATATTTCCAATAAGCAAAATACTTTTCTGTAATTCAAAACTAATTTAAATTGTTTGGAAGGAGTTTTCTTTTTGAAATTTCTAAAAAGTGTTATAAAAATGTAAATCTCTATTAAAAAAAAATCTTTCAAAAATAAAATATACTTTTCTGAAACTTTATTCAAGGAATATTAGCCGATTTAAATTATAATTAATCTGATTTTAAACAACTCTTGTTTAAAATATCACCTGAAATGCATTTTTTAATATGGTGGTAGCTTTTTATTTATGTTAATAGCTTTTGAACAGCTCCATGACAGCTAGATTTTTATTTAATGATAGATTTACTTGTAAAAAAATAATTGAATATAACATGAGGGCCTTTTATATATAATTAATAATGGTAATATTATAATTAATATTATAATAATAATATATAATTAATAATAATAGTACTCAGTAATCTTAAAAATTTAAGAAAATATTCTCTATAATCTAATGTTTTGAATTTTAGAAAATTTAAGCATTAAATTTACTATAGTTATCACTCTTATTTTCTGATAATGTCATGTATGAGGAATCATATCTACAAAAATTGATACAATTTATACACATACAAAAATAATTCAAAATTCTTTTTAAAAATACTTTGGGTTGTTAGATTGTAATAAAGTTTACAATATGATTAGGAAATATAGTTTAACTTAATAACAATATTCCCTAACACTTACACTATTAAAACTGAATTTTTAAAATTTTATAAATTAGTCTAATTAAAATTGTGAAAAAATGAATACAAATCTTATAAAAATTCGTTTTCCAGCAAAAAATTATTTTTCTTAAGACAATATTGTCCATAATATATATTATTCATAAAAGTTTTTCTAAATGAATAACGTTATATTGTTTTTCATTTTATGATTCAGGGCAGATTTTTGGTTAGACAGGGTTCAATTTTACAAAAACAATTTGATGATTTAACTTCTCCAAAGAGTTCTGCTTTTAACTAATAGACTAAAAATTATCTTGTTGAATTTCTCAAGTTTTCATAAAAGTGGCGTGAAACATTAAAAAAATACATTTCTAAAATAACTGACTACATTTTTAAGTCCTGAAAGCTCCATTAAAATCTGCCAATTATTTGATTTTTGCAAGAATTTCCAAATTAATGTTTTCAACCACAAAAAAAAAAAAAAAAAGACACTAAAATTTTCTATGCTAATTTACAGCCAATCCACTGACACAAAAAAAAGAATATTTTTAAGCAATGTTCTAAAAAGGTATAGTGAAGAAAACGGCAACTTACCTTGTCAAACCAAGCGACCACATGTCGCATGTATCCTACGATGGAAAAGAAAATTACTTACCAAAAAGAAGGGCACGTATTCCACGACATACTGAAGACAGAATATTTAGATTAAAAACAAGTCTGTCGTAGGATTCTCTATAAAAGTATTTTGATATCCAAAAATTTGGCGTCCTCTCCCAGTTGTTGACGAATGAAAAAAAAAATGCAACTGAGGAAATGGTTGCGGCTACTATTTCACCAGGCGGAGCTGATAAACATCCAAATGTTAAACGTCAGGAGGGTATGCAATGCTATCGATGCTTTGGGTAGAATCCCCTTTCCATGGAGAGCTATTGGGTTTTGACTTGTTGCTTGAGTTTGACGCCATTAAAATGTTGGGCGGACTCCAAATAACAGAGTGTGGCGATGTACGGTTTCCCAAGCATGGAATAGTCTGTTATGCCACTACTAAAATAGAAGAACCCGATTTCTGTGCCGAATTTGATCCAAACCGGAAGATATGGGTTGCATCATGGAAGTGGTCTGATGGTCAATCACCTGAGAGTTTGCAAAATCGGATGCCCGAGTACCCAATACCAACAGGAGTTAAGAAGGAATATGACCATGAGCTGTAGACCTGTCTTGATAACGGTTGGTTGCAGCCTTATCCTGAAAAGGAACTCAGTCCTCCAAAAGGTTTAATTCCGTTGATGGTGGTGGTGCAGAAAAACAAAAATAAAGTGCAGCCAGTATTAAACTATCGAGAGCTGAATGAGTGTCTCGACGCACACAGAGCCAATGCTGACGTGTGCGCACAGAAACTGAGGGAGTGCTGTAAAAAAGGACAGGATGTCGCTATCCTTGATCCAAATGGGTTTCGGGCTGAATGTTGCACCAGCCATAATGAAGGCCATTGTGGACGCCGCGTTGGCGAAAGACGAGTCAGTTCAACGGGCAACCTCATCATATATTGATGACATTTATGTTGACAAGAGCATGATTTCAGTAGCTTGCATGAAGGAGCACTTGGCTACGTTTGGTTTGACCTGCAAGGATCTGGAGCGGTTATGGGACAGCACACGCGTGCTGGGTTTGCATGTCGAGCAAGATAACAACATGCTTAAGTGGAAACGTGGAAATGGCATTCCATCAGTTCCTGAGGTCCTGATGCGACGTAACATCTTGTGGTGTGGAAAACTGGTGTGTATGGGTGGCTTAGTGTTGCTGCATCATTTGTAAGACACAGGGCAGTATTGATCACATCTGGTTGGAACGACGAAGTGACTGATGCTCCCCTTAAGAACATGATTGAGGAAATAGCAGAAAAAATACGCCAGAATGACCCTGCACATGGTAAGTGGTGTACAAGCACTTATGAGGTATGGGTTGATGCAAGTTCTCTCACCACAGGGGTTTTGTTGGAGGTTGACGGAAGTGTTGTAGAAGATGCATGTTGGCTGCGGTCTGTGAAGGATGCCCAACATATCAATTTATCAGAATTGGATGCTATTCTGAAGGGTGTCAATTTAGCACTACAGCGGGGCACAACGGAGCTACACCTCTTCACTGACTCCACGTGTGTGCCCCGGTGGGTATCAAACATGCTCACTGGCAAAGCCAGAATGCGAACTAAGGCGGCAAGTGAGATGCTGATCTGGAGGTGTTTGAGTACTCTTGAAAAGCTGATTCAAGAGTATAACTTATTGATCATGATAAATTTAGTAATGTCGAGTGAGAATTGAGCGGATAAGCTCACCAGAGTACCACAACGATGGTATGATGTGATCAAGAAGGAAATTGAACCAACATGCCCGATATGCACTTCCATGGTGAATGAAACTTCCTGATCAGATACATGCCATACATTGCCAGAGTGGACATCCTGGCGTCAGGTGAACGCTGTATTTTGCGAGACGAGTCTACCCTACAACATCTAAGGCGGCCGTCAACGCAGTGTCAGAAAATGTAAAGAATGCCAGTCAATTGACCTAGCCTCAAGTCATTGGCCTCATGGCAACCTAAGTGTGACTGAAATCTGGACCCGCATTACGGTGGGCAACACTACCTTACATTAATCAATTGCGGCCCCAGATTTGCAATATGGCGACTCATGCTTCAACAAGACTCAAGAAGTGTCATTCGACAGTTGGAAAATATTTTTTTTGAATAAGGCCCACCATCAGAAATCCTGACCGACAATGACACTGCATTTCACAGTAAATCCTTTAAAGATTTTTTGGATGACTGGGGAGTCCAACTTCGTTTTCGCTGCACCTATGTTCCTGCAGGAAACAGTATAGTGGAAAGATCTCATCGGAGCATAAAGAGAATTGCAGCATGAAAGCAGTGTTCAATAATGGAGGCAGTATACTGGCATAATATCATGCCAAAAGATGATACATCGTCGACTAATGCGCCTGCCAATATGATTCACCATTAACAACTGAAAGTGAAGGCAATTGCTACAACATTACCACCTGATTGTTGAAGTATCACGATATATACAAAGTTGGGAACAGAGTATAGATGAAAGCTCCCCATGGCTGGTGTACTTCCAGCTATCAAGTGGGTCGTGTGACGGACATTGCAAGTCCACAAACAATAATAGTCGACAGGATGCCATGGCATGTAAAAGATCATAGTCTTTTTGTTGATTCTGATACATCGCCAAGCGAATCTGATGATGGTTCATCGTCTGACAGTGATTGGATAATCGAGATCTGCGAATCTGATGCTTCCACAGATGCAGAGATTCCTGAAACTCGAGATACATCTGATGACTCCTCAGGAGACGACTCTCCGACACATGTAAGGGAGATAGTTCCATTATGATGAAGCACCAGGATAAAGAGAGCTGCTCCAAGCTGTTTGATTTGTGATAATGAGATCAGGGGGGAGTATAGCAAAGAAAATGGTGACTTACCTCGTCAAACCAAGCGACAGCACGTCGCGTGTATCCTATGACGGAAAAGAAAATTACTTACAAAAAGAAAAAGAAAAAGGCCACATATTCCGCATGACATACTGAAGACGGAATATTTAGATTAAAAACAAGTCCGTCGCAGGAGTCTCTATAAAAGTATTTTGATATGCAAAAATTTGGCGTCCTCTCCCAGTTGTCAACGAATGAAAAAAAATGCTTGGCCGATAAAAGCAGTTAGAGTTCTCGAATCAGGAGGGAAAAATTGATGTATTTTGGCTACCACATTCGTCGGAGAGTGAGTTATTTTTCTGACTGGTTATGTGTATTGAGATTTGTGAGATAGTACCTGTGAATAGAGTTTTCGGCATTTCATTCTGTCCTCGATATTTGAGTCTGAACTTACAGTGATTTGTTCAGTGTTGTGGAATTAATCTGCAACAAACATTTCCTGTGCTTTCAGAACACTTACAAAAGGATTAAAAAATTTAAATAAATATTTAAAAAATACTTTGATCTTTCCTCTAAATAATAAAGATTTTGACAATAAAACTAGGTTTTCGTTAAGTTTAGAGGATTTATTTTTATGATAGTATGCTTTTTTTTAGTTAATTAGTGGAGGTACCTACATAATATAATATACATTTATTTTGTATTCATCAAAATTGCATTTTAAAATTACTCGTGTATTTCTGTGAGTAATATTTTATGGCTACATTCCAAATCTATTAAAATGAATACAAAAAACAATTAAGCAATTTATAACTTAAATCTTATATTGCTATCTTTCCAATAAAAAGTAATACAAACCTGGAAATTCAATATATGCTGCAAACTGTAAGAGGGCATCATTCAATATTTGCAAAATCTAAAGTTAAAAAAAAAAAAAAAAAAAAAAAAAAGAAAAATATTGATCAAGAAGTTTTCTAAGCAATAACCTAAATCTCAGTTATGTAAATTTCCAAACACACCTGTAACAGAAAATGCATTGTAACATTCAAATTAACAAAATTTTACTTTGAACTAAGGAAATCGTTATTAAAACAAATTTCAAATGCAGATATTGGTAACAGTTCATAAGTCTAACATTGTGAATCATTTGAAACAGAAGAAAAACTACAGATCTTTGATAGGTCAGCTACATTGTTGTATTATAAATACCAGACTTTATATTGCTTTTGATAGGTGTAATTTAAGTGTTTTCTACAACAGAGCTACTGTGGATAACCTAAAATTAAACAAAGTAATAAACTGACATAGCTTGAAGCTGGGCACAAACAACAAATGCTAAACATTCCTTAAGTGCTTCTCTGGTGTAAACCTATGCTAAGCTCCCCGATAGACGTTCTCTTTATTTTTTTTTTCTCTTGTAAGATCATTGTTCTATGTAATAGCAATAAAGAAAAATGAGTTAAATCAACCATATCTGCAGACTTTTGCTCAACTGTGCTGAAGCTGCTGCAAAGGTAAAAACTGAATAAAAATAAACTATATCATAAACAATAAGTCATCAAGCAACTTAATATTAGGAGAAACTTACCAAAAGACAAAAAAAAAAAAAAAAAGTTCCTTTTCCATTCTATTTAATAAAACATGCTTAAATGAAAGATTGTTGCTTAAATACACTATGTTTAACTTTAATAATTGGACAAAAATAAAAACAATAATAACGTTCATTGGACATAAAAATGTGCTAAATCAAGTCTGTTGAAATTGATATTCTTATTTTCCCATTGATAAATTTTAATTTTTAACAGTTTGAAAAATTTATCAAAGTAGTTTATGATATTATTTTAGAAGTTTTATTTGTACACATCATTAAAAAATGTTCAAAATGCAATCAAATAAGTTAAAAAAAAAAAATTGTTGTTAAATATGAAAGCACATACCAAACGCAAAAGTCCAGAATCATTAAGCATGAGAATCATTAATATGTGTCCTGGGGGTTTGCTGACTATAAAGCTTCCATCACCTTGACCAAGCTGAGTATCACCAACAAAATGACTGGCCAGAATTTTGTGCTCACACAGTATCTTGTATAAAATCTCCAAAGCTGCAATAGCTACTTTCCACTGAAACACAAAAGTGCAAACAATTAAAAATGCACACATATGAAAATGGTGAACTCTCCCATCAAATGAGTATCAAGCAGCTCAGTTCCTAGGAACTGACAACCCAGACACCAGCACATATGATTTGATTATAGTGGTGAAGGCTTTGTGCAGAACCAACCACACTTTTTGAAGGGCCAAATAAAGACCTGGTGCACTAAATGCAACAAGGTCCCCAAACAACCCTCTGCAGGTTTTGAATTCAGAGTTGTCCTACCAAACCAGTTGCCATTCAAGGCTATAGAATCCAGTTTGGGCTGCTATTTACCCATACAATACTATTTTTATAATGTATTTTTATACTGTACTAAATATTTGCAGATATATTTTATACTGTATTTTTTCTTATATTTTTATGTTTTATATACAGTGTACATTATTATACAGTACATATTTCTATACAGTTTCATCACACTAAATGTAGTGTGATGCTACGATCATTGCATCAACCCACTCAGTCCTCTGTTACCTCATAGAATAAACATTTATAGTGTACACATATCTGCAATTATATTAGTGTAAGTGTAAAAAGTACAGTAACATGTAAATTTTATTAAAATTTATTGAATTAAAAGTAGGTAAAATGTAACAATGCTGAGTTTATTTCATTTAATCTCTATGTTTTAGTCTAATATACAGTGTATAATCATTGAATTTTAAATTGATATCAATACAGTACTGCAGAAAAAGGTTAAAAAAAATTTATAAAGTTAAATTAAAGTAAGATAAAATGGAGGTACAGCACACAAGTTCAGGTAAATTTGTGCGGCCACTTCATCCCTGCAGTTTTTTCCTTTACATTTTCCCATACAGTTACTGTACAGTTTAATGTGTTACTGTAAATATTGTACATGTACAATAAATTTTAAATTTTAGTGGGTAATTTTTTGATAATTTTTGTTGCCCACAACCAAGAAGCTGGTTCCTGCTAAGAAAAGGGAAAAACATCTGTGCAAATGAAGGAGATCATTCAGAAGCACAAAGAAGGTACCCGTGTTTCTGACCTTGCCAATTGATATGGATGTTCAGCATCAACAATTTGCACTATCCTAAAGAACAAGATAGAAATAAAAAAGCTTGATGTAGCCAAGGGATAATTACCAAGCATCATCCAAAAGCCCTAGATGATGTTGAGAAGCTGTTGTTTGTGTGGATGAATGAGAGGCAACTATGAGGTGATTCTGTGTCTGAAGATATTACATGTGCAAAGGCAAGGGCACTGTACATGGATCATATCAGAAAAATATCAGGCATGTCTTCTGAAAATGAAAACACATTTAAGGCAAGCCAAGGATGGTTTGAAAAATTTAAAAAGTGAACTAGCATCCACTGGAGTGCCTGCAAGCTCTGATAAAGCTGCATTGTTTCAGAAGTGTTTTGAATTGACCAAAAATACATACCTGACCCAAAGAGAATTTAGGAAGGATCACTTCAATATCCTAAATTGCTTAAATCTCATTGATAAGGCCTGGGAAGGAGTCATTGGGATATATTTATTTACATTATTTGTGTATAATCTTTAAAAAAAGTACTTTAATTTTGCATAAAATATGATTTTTATAACAATATTTTTTGGGTTTGGAACAAATTTAATTTCTATTAATTTAAATGTGGAAAATTGTTTCAACATACAAAATTTCCAGTTAAGAAACCACTCTTGGAACAAATTAAATTCATAGGTCAAGGTTCCACTGTATAACAATTGTGAAACAGTAAAATGGGATTGCTTTCATCACATACATATACAGGAAATAGTAAAAATATGCTTTAAAATGTCAGCTAGTGATATGAAAAGAGAGGCAGTGGAAAGCAAAAAATGAAAGATAGAATAATGAATGAAAGTGAATAGAAAAATATAACCCAAAATTGATATCAGTATATAATTCCCATTGTGCATCCATTTATTCATATTAGTGGTTCTCAATCTTTTGGAGGTTGCCACCCCTTGAATACCAAAATAAAACCCTAACACCACTCCACCTCAATGTATAGTCAACCATTGATTAAATTTTCTTGGTACTAGTATTGCATGTCAAATGAGTATCTTAGTATTTCCCATAATTGTTATATAAATGGGACACACTGTCAAGTGAAAGTAAGATACACTTCAGGTACAATGTGTGTGGGGGTGTAAGTTATGGTTCAGATGTGCCACTGCCATTCTATGGCTGTCCATTTTTTCTCAAAAGAAAAAGATTAACAACAGAACAAAGACAGCAATGACAAAGCCTATCTCAAGACCAAGTTGAAGATGATCACTCAGTAGACAAAATTATCTAAGTGCTTGCAAGAGGCTTGAACAAATAAGACTTGTCAAGAATAAGGGATTCTCAGAGTGAACAAAACCTTCACAAGAAACATAATGATAAAGGAATTAATAGACTAGATAGTTGATCAGTAGCTTCTGTACAAGTTGTGAGTTCTGAAATGATTCGAGATCTGCAATACATGGATTGATGCTTTTTTTCCATTTTAGCTGTTTGATATCAATGATAAAGAAATTATTACAAGAAATAAGGTAACCAATTGTGTAAACACTTCAGCAATATGTAATTGCTAGGTTTTTTATGTAATAAACATAACAAAAAAAATTCTTTTTTAAAGAAATTTAGCAGTAAAGGTGGGGGGGATTGATTAATGGTTCATTAGCCTCTGTTTTAATTCTGAATTCTGAATAATCACTTTAAAAACCTTGATTTAATTACATCTCAATGTTAAAACTTTCTAACAATTACCATCATTTTTGACTGCATGAGTACACTTATTAATATAAATAAAAGTTTAAACACTATACATATCTCAATTTTTACCTTTTCTGCAGGATTTTTATATGCTCTTGCTAAACATTTAAGCAATACATTGTCGACAATGAAATCCAAATATGGTCCAAATCCTGGAGGTCTGTATCCAGCTCCTAAACCTTGTGGAATGGAACTATTAATTAAGGTGTTGATCAATGTTAGGAAGGCACGTGATAAAGTATACTCTTCATTCCTACTTTCTACTTCTTCCAATTCAACCTAAAATAGAGAAATAATAGTTTTAACAATTTTTAAGTGTTTTAGTAGATAATTTGACACTAAAAATTTCACTTCTCCAGATAAATCACATATATATGCTTCTGCTTCATAAGCAAAATTCAAAAGTTTATTTTATGTCACTAAAATTAGAGCAAAACAGAAAAAACAATGTCATTTCATGAGATTACAAATTAATGGACAAAAGGAACACTTGCAAAATTACTGAAAAAAACTTTTTCTGAATTTTTACAAATGTCAAAAAATCTAAACAATAGAAATTGGCAATTTTTATTTTATGGCTGAGAATTTTTTTAAATTTATTAACTTTTAATGAACAAAATAACAAAAATAATTTTTTTTATGATAATATAAACAAAACAACTCACTTGTATTCCTCCTTGCTGATGTCTAACAGAATTTGAAACAGTAGCAACAATCTGCAAAGAGAACAGAAGCAAAGATACAATCAGAAAGAAACAGGTGTTCTAACTGTTATTAAAAAAAATCCCATCTGAATTAATATATAAAAGTACTATTGTGTCAGCTGGTAGAACAGAGAAAGGAAATATAAGGAAGATTTCAGGAAAAAATAATTACAAAACAGCATGCATATTTGAATAGACAAAAATCTAAATATTAATTTTGAATAATTCATACCGCAATAGTTAACAACATTAGATCTTTACAAGCTACAACAAATAGTCCACCTTCAATATAAAAATTCAACAGGCATGCTTTCAGTCTCATTTTAAGTATAGAAGAGGGAAAATAGGAAAAAATTAACCAACTCAAATGAAGCCATTATCTAGAGAGAAAAAGGACTGAAGGCTATTCATAATGAATCACAAATCCATACACAAAGTCAGCTGTCAGAAATATTGGATTTTTGATCACTATCACCACACACACACACATATATATATATATATATATATATATATATATATATATACATACATACATACATACACACACACACACGAGGCATGGTGGATAGCAGCGTGAACTGAGGAATCGAAGAACTGTGTTCAAATTCCAGTGGAATCCATTATATTTACTTACGTGCTAATACTCTTGAGAAAGGTAATAATCCTCTTCTCCCTCCAGCTATGCATAAATAGCAAGACTGGGTTCTATAGCCTTGGATCTAGGAGAAGGACAAATTTGAATTCAAAATCTGGGGAGGGTCATTTGGGGACTTTGTGGCACGTAGTGTACCAGTTTCTGTATTCAGCCGTTCAAAAAGTGTGGTTGGTTCTTCACAAACCCTTCACCACTATAATCAAATCATGTGTGCTGGTGTCTGGCTGTCATTTCCTAGGAACTGAACTGAACTGCTTCACCCTCATACACCAAATACGACAGGAGAGTCCACCATATATATCAATAAATAAAGAATAGTATGGGTGTCTGACAGATTAAACAGATTCTTACTGGTGATAAGATTTTTTTTTTTTTAATGTTATGTTCTATATTGCCTATTTAAAACAGCTTTAGCCTTTTTGGACAAAATTTCAAAAAATAATTTGGCTACTTGACTAATCTGAACACAAATAAATAGGTACGCAAGACTAACAAATCAGAGAAAATGTTAAAATATATAATTCTTCAAGATCAAATTGCTATAAAAATTTCACCCCTAACTCATTCCACAAATGGAATTTCTTGTAAACAATAAGAAAATCCAATTATCAATTAAAAAAGCTTCTGTACTTTAAAATTAATTATTATAGCTTAGGGCAGTAGCTTAAAAAAAATTAAAAGCTCTAAAAATTATATGAACAGTAGTGTAAGCAATATAGCTGATAAGCTTGTCTTATAAATATTGTACACAAAAAGAATAGATTATCACGTAAAAATTTAAAAAAATTTTGTATAAATAATTAATAGCTAATACCTGTGATGCTTCAAGATTTTGCCAAAGACTAGCAGCAATTTCTGGACTTTTGCCCAGAGCAGCAAGAGTAAGCAATATCTGAGCTTTCAACCCAGCTGGGATACTACAGCCAGCCAAACCAAACAACACAGTTGTTGGCATCCACTGTTGGTTTTCATAAATGGCAATACGACATTCTTTATTCTGAAACAGTAAACAAACTTAATAAAGAATAATAATAATGAAAAACACCAGAAAGAATAATCAGCTATGGCAAAAGGTTTTAATACTAGTTGATTTTTTTTACCTCTTATTGGGAAAAAAAAAAGTGCAAATACAGGTTCTTTTGCAAAATAATAAAAAATTTGCACCTGTCATTATTAAATGGGAGCTGTGTAGTTCCAGTATTGACTGACAAAGATGTTTTCATACATCCACTTTATTTACCTGCTTTTATAACAGATTAAAAACATTACACTTCATCCAATCCATTAGTATCACAAATTCCAGAGCACAAACACACAAAGCATAAAAATGGAAATTCGTTGTAATATTACAATGTACTGAATAATAAACTGTTAATCAACCATACAATACAATGCAAATCAAGAGAGAGAACATCTTCATGTAACACCTTTTCAAGTATAATTTGTATTTATACATTATTTTATTTATAACTGTGCTGACTTTGAGAAATCTGTAAATTTATCTAAATAAGGAGAAAACCAAGAATTTCCAACAATCACTTAACATTTATTGAAATAGATATTTTTCTTTTAAGATGTTGTTAATTTTATTACAGTTTAATTTACATTGTTCTATTCAATATACCAGTAATAGGAAAAAAATAATCAATACTCACCAGCAACAAGCTATAGAAAAAAAAAAAAAAAGAAGGCCAGCCACTGGTTTTATATTAGAATCATACCTAAAACAGAAGGCTATCTTCATGCCCAAAATACACTCATGGAAAAAGTATGTGTGTTGCAATTTACACAAGATTAAAAACATGCTGGATTACAGTAAATGATCATATATACAGACAAATACGTGTGCACAGATTCCAAGGTAAAACCACTCAGACCTCATATTAATATAGTGTATATCCTCCTTGGGCCTTAACAGGTTTGTATTTTAGTATACATACAATTATACAGATGGATACCAGCATACAATATATTATTTCACACTTCCTACATATGTTAATACAATACAAGAGTTGTAGGTGACATTACCTGAGCAAATCAGATAATGTCTAATCACATAATATAAATGTTCAATGAGAGACTCTTCTGGTGACTATGGATTAGCATATCACCTTCCTGTTGAAGCTGAATGAGTTGAATATGCCATCATGTCAAGGGTTATGCATAAATGTGTACAGCAGTGTTGTGGCATGAAGTAGAAGTCTAGTTAAAAACATGCAAGCTCATAGGCTGCTGCAAATAAACTATTCCCAGTAGGCTTTGTTGGAAACTCATAAGGTTACCACCAATGTATCACAACCCAGCAATTATCCAAAATGACCATCCAGCCTCTGAACAAAAGTATCCTATGTATCTGTTGCATGACATACAGCATCTAACATACAATTTTAAACCTTAATTTTTAGTCTAATTTTTTTACTATAATCATTTTATATAAGAATTCAAGTTTACAAATATAGTATGCCAAACATTACTGCTAAAATAAAGATAACCAAAGCATTAAAATTAAAGTCAATTTAAATATAATAAAATCTTTTTCTTGTAATGCTTTCCTCAAAAAAGAATTTTTCCCTTACTTGGCTTGCAATACACTCAGTTAGCTGTAAAACTGCAATAAGAGCTTCTTGCTCTTGTGGAGTGATTCCTCCATGTGAATGATGCCCTCCAAATGTTTGCGAAGGTACTTCACGTCTCAAGTTAGTGTAGTACTGGTTTAAGGAAATAAAAATATGGTCCCATGATACCATGTGTGCTGAACTACCTGTAACAGAGAAAATGGAAATAAAAAATGAGATCTCTCTTAATCACCCACACAATAAAAATGTTACAATAAGGAGAAAAAATAACTTGCCTGAATTCATGCCATTCATTTTGAGGAGATTAAAGCAGTGCCAAGCACACTGGGGGCTGTTCGCCAATCCAATTAACAATTGGATATATGGAACATAAAGAGATGCAGGTAACAAATCCCCAGCAAGACGGACGAATTTATACAGAGCAACCTGACAAGGAAAAATATTTGTTAAAGAGAAATTTAGATTTTACTGTTGTGCCTGGCATTTAATTAGTGAAATTAGGGGGTGACTAATGAAAATATCTAATCGAAACACTGTCTAGTGAAAAAAAAATTTGAAGATTACCTTATATTCCCATTACTTTTAATATTCAGTGACACTTGATCACACAAAAGCAAACTCACAACTTTCATAAACTTTACCATTTTTGAAAAAGAAAATCATTTAGACATTTCTGACAAATTTATTATAATCTTTGCTTATATACATATAAGATTCAGCAAAAATAAAACTAATGTTTTGAGTATTTAAATGTTTAAAGAGTAAAAGAAACACCAATTAACAAATTCATGAATAATATAAAATTAGATATTTTAAATGATGACCATTATTTTTTTTTACCTGCCGCTGAGGTGGACGATGATGCAAAGCACTTGTTCCTAAATGAGTATCTGTAATAGCAGATTCTGCAGGACACCAATATTCAAGGCCATATTCCAAACCAAGCTTATCCTGACCATACAATTCAGCAAGCTAATAGAAAATATTTAAAAAAGAAAAAAAAATGTAAAAAGAAAAAAAAATGGAAATGAAAAAAAAATGAAAATGCTACAAATAAAAAATAAAACACTAAAAATATTTAGTTTAAAATACAAATAACTACTCATGAACGGCTTCGTTTTTACTGGATATTTTTTCGGTATAATGAAAAAAAAAATTAAAAGAAAAAATGGAAATGAAAAAAGAAAAAATGGAAATGAAAAAAAAAAAAATGGCGTCGTTTTTACTGGATATTTTTTCGGTATAATGAAAAAAAAAAAATGAAAATGAAAAAAAAAAATGAAAATGAAAAAAAATGAAAATGAAAATAAAAAAAAAAATGAAAATGAAAAAAAAAATGAAAATGAAAAAAAAAATGAAAATGAAAAAACTGGATATTTTTTCGTTTAAAAAAAAAAAAAAAAAAAAGGAAATGAAAAACGAAAAAAAAAAAAAAAAAAATGAAAAAAAAAAAAAAATGAAAAAAAAAAAAAAAATTAAAATAAAAATAAAAATACTCAAAAAATATAAATATTTTTTCCCGGTATAATGAAAAAAAAAAAAAAAAAAAAAATGAATGAAAAATGAACGGTTTTTGGATATTTTTTTCGGTATAATGAAAAAATAAAAAAAAAAAAAAAAAAAAAAAAAAAAATGGAAAAAAAAAAAATGGAAAAGAAAAAAAAAAGAAAAAAAAAATGGAAAAGAAAAAATGGAAAAAAAAAAATGGAAAAAAAAAAAGAAAAAAAAAAAAAAAAAAAATGAAAAGAAAAAAAATGAAAAAAAAAAATGAAAAGAAAAAATGAAAAGAAAAAAATGAAAAAATGAAAAAAAAAAAAAAAAAAAAAAAAAAAAAAAAAAATGAAAATGAAAAATGAAAAAAAGAAAAAAAAAAAAAAAAAAAAAAAAAAAAAAAAAAAGAAAAATGAAAAAAAAAATGAAAAGAAAAAATGAAAAAGAAAAAAAAAAGAAAAATGAAAAAAAAAAAGAAAAAAAAAAAAAATGAAAAAATGAAAAAAAAAAAAATGAAAATGAAAAAAAAATGAAAATGAAAAAAAATTTAAAATGAAAAAAAAATGAAAATGAAAAAATTAAATAAAAATGAAAATGAAAAAAAAATGAAATGAAAAAAATGAACGGGCTTCGTTTTTTTTAAAATAAAAAAAAAAAAAATGAAAAAAAATGGAAATGCTACAAAAAAAAAAAAAATAAAAGACACTAAAAATATTTAGTTTAAAATATAAATAACTACTCATGAACGGCTTCGTTTTTACTGGATATTTTATTCGGTATAATGAAAAAAAAAAAAAAAAAAAAAAAAAAAAAAAAAAAAAAAAAAATGAAAAAAAATGAAAATGAAAAAAAAAATGAAAAATGAAAAATGAAAGTAAAAAAAAATTACTGGATATTTTTTCAAAAAAAAAAAAAAAAAAATTAAAAAAAAAAAATGAAAAATGAAAATTTTCATTTAAAAATATTTTTTTAAAAAAAAAAATGAAAAAAAAAAAAAAAATGAAAAAAAAAAAAAGGAAACGAAAAAAAAAAACGGAAAATGGAAAAAAAAAAAAAAAAAGGAAAAAAAAAAAAAAAAAAATTAAAAAAAACGAAAAAAAATGAAAAAAAAAAAAGGAAACAAAAAAAAAAAAAAAAAAATGGAAATGAAAACGAAAAAAAAATGGAAATGAAAACGAAAAAAAAAATGGAAATGAAAACGAAAAAAAAATGGAAATGAAAACGAAAAAAAAATGGAAATGAAAACGAAAAAAAATGGAAATGAAAACGAAAAAAGAAAATGAAAAAAAAAAATGGAAATGAAAATGAAAAAAAATGAAAATAAAAAAATGAAAAAAAAAAAAAAAAATTATGAAAGGGTCAATTTCATAATTTTAGAAAGGAAATTTAACAATATAAACCATCATGGTTCAATTTATGTTAATCATTTACTCTGAATGCTAAATTAACAATTAACACATTTTACTTACATGAGCATCAAATAATTTTCATTCATTAAAAACTGAATCAGTATGTAATTAATAATATTTCATTCAGCAATTGAAAATCAAAAGTTATTTAAATTTAACATTTGAAACGAGACACATTAATCCTTGCAAATTTATGCTACGGATTTTAACATTTAATTAAATGTAATCTTTTTCTATAAGAGTCATCAACTTAATTTGGAGGAAATAACTTTAAAAATATTTATTAAAAATAGAATACTCATGTTTTTAAGTACATACAAGTTTAAGTAATTCTTCAAAATCTCTACTCAAACTGGATGGTGGTTCCTTGCCATTCTGCAGATGAACCATGATGATGTCTGAAATGCTTCATCACCAAGATTTCTCAATTCTGTTACCTAGAAAATAATAATAATAATAAATATATATATATATATATATATATATATATATATATATATATATATATATATATATTAGGTAGGTCGATTTTTTGAACTGTAAAAAGAATAACTCGAGGAAAGTTGCAAAATAACGTCAAAAATTACCACCAAAAATATTTTTCTTCAAAACTTCGTATTTATTTGAGCAATTGAACTTAAAGACAAAATAAATTGCAAATTTTATCATCATAACGGTGTCACCAGAGACATGTGTATGTTAAATTAAAACCGAGTCTTAACAAAAGAAAAAAAAAAAAATACGCTTAATAATGGATATTTTTCAGTTTATTATCTATTCTCTTATTAAATTAAATGAAATTGCTACAAATAAAAAATAAAACACACTAAAATATTTAGTTTAAAAATACAAATAACTACTCATGAAAGCAAAGATCGTTTTTACTGGATATTTTTTCGTATTTACCGTAGTAATTACCTCCTTTTGTATGTTCGTTTTTTTTTTTTTGTTATTTTAACTAGCGCAAATATCTATTTTATTTTTCATCAAAATATACTGAACTATTTAAAAAATACAACTTTTATAAGTATTGTTTATATTTTGAAAATTAATGTTTTATTAAAAAGCCTGTTTACTTTTAGCTAATCCCGAATTAACTCTACTTTTATGTAAATAAACTTTACTTTTAATTTAATAATGCATTTCAAACTTTATTTTCCAATTTATTTTGAAAAATATTTTGTATAATTTCTGATAATACATATATTTTCTTTGTCAGATATTTTAACTGTTGGCAGTCCTCTGGATTCTATTTTTAAAATTGAAAATGCAGATACCCTTAGTTGTGACCAAAGACTCCTTTATCAATATACAGTGGGTATTTCTAGAGGTAAGGTGGATTCTAGATTTGCATCATGGAAAATTGGTCCATTAAACCAGGCAAGGTGGTTAACTTTTAGGCATTAGTCTGATGTGCTTATGGACTCATGGTGCATACCACAAAATATTTCAACCAAACTCCACAGTTTAATAAATTTTATTGTGAATGTGTATGCCATTTGCCGGTTCAAAATAAAAAAAATAACAAGTTCCACAATCAGCAAATATATATTTTCAATATGATCCAAAGGATTAGGAAGCAACCATATGAAATCCAACAGATCACATTGAAAAATATACAATACAATGCTTTCGCCTTACTGCCTGAAAATATCTTATATTCAATGGTCAAATCTGATGAATTGGAAGTGAGGGAAAAGCTATAAAAAAATTTGGCCATTCGGTTAGTAAATATTTATTCATATAAAATTGACTAAATTAGTTATACCGATTTATGGAATCATTTTAAAACCTTTATCTCATTTCCCCATAAATACTAAAGCAGTACAGAGTGCATTTTTTAAAAAAATAAATCAAATTAATTTTTATATTCTTTCAAGAGTGGGGAGCAAACCAAGAAAAAATTAAAAAGAATTGCAACTATCAATTTTAAAGCTATGCACTGGAGACAGTTAAAAGATCTGTCATTAAGTGGAGTTTGTGAACCACCACTCACAGAAAATTTTCTGAAAATGAACTTCGGGTATAATTATTGAATGGTACGAAACTTGACTTGCCAGATTTGCCCTCACATTCTCAAGGCATGTAACGGACAGTCAAGTTAACAGAAGTTTCCCAATCTGTGTATGGCTTTGAAGCAAGGCACCAGCACATAATATCAAAAGCTTTGTGTCAGAAATTGAGACCATCAATTTCATCTGAGGATTCTTATATGGAACTATTTGACTGTATATTAAGCCCTATTAAACTATTCTTTATTTTTTCATATTTGTTTGTTTGTTGTATTTTCATTCAAAATAGAAAAAAGCAATTTTTTTAATGTATTCAGCTAATACTGCTTAATTCATGAGGCAAAAAACAGCATTTCAAAATCGTCAGTAATAATAGTAGGGGCAAATTTTCAATTTGAAGTTTACTTATAATTTCTACATTTTATTTAATTTAGATAAAACAAAATAAAAACATTCCCTGATTTAAATAGTGAAATTGTTTGTTTTTTTTTTTTAACAATATTTAGTCTAAATCTTGCAAAATTCAAAATGGATTTTTCAGTGCATTTTTCTCTACGATCTTTGATGCCAAATGCTCAAAAAACCGTTGAAGTGACAGATTTAATTTTTTTTTATCAGTACTTAACTGGTCTATATAAAACTTTCGGTACATTATTCTTTTGATATTTTTTAAAAGTCAAAAAATTGACCTACCCTAATATATATATATATATATATATAGCTCATAATAAAAACTTCAAATACAGTTGTATTTACCCAAATTTTCTTATCAGCTATTATTTAATTTTTAGAAAAAAAATGAATCTATATTTGCATATTTGTGTGTACACACACACACACACACACAGAGGGTGCGATGGGTAAATTGTCAGCAGTTTATATTTTTACTTTTGTGCATGTGCGTTGTTTTTTTGTTGACTGCACAGTATACAAGGGTCAGGTGGACACTTCTGTGAGAAAAAGACCACCATGACACAATTCACTCCACCAGAAATTTGGAAACAGCATGCTGTACTGCTTGGCATTCATGTACAAAGCTCCAATATGAAAATTTCAGAGTATTTGGGTGTTGATCTGGGGACAGCACAGAGGATATGTAAAGAGTTGGATGAGTCTAATGATGATGAAGGTGTTTAGAGTGATCACTAGTGATGGTGATATTATGCCTCTATTCATCTTCCTACAGGGCCTCAAACAATACTGAGGCCTACATCAAGTGTCTTGAGGAGGTAGTGAAGCCCTTGGTCAAGAGGGTAGCTGAAGGAAAGCCCTATGACTGGTAACAGGACTCTGCAACACGCTACACAAGCACGAGAACCCAATCACAGCTGTCAGACAATTTTTGCAAGCGCACAACCCTTTACATCTGGCCACCTGATTCCCCAGACTGCAACCCCCTTGATTATGTATAGAGTCATAGTTGAGTGAGAGAACAACAAAATTCCTTGTAACACCGAAGATGAACTGAAAGCAAGGATTATGGCAGCATTCAGCTACTTAAACAAGAAAACTCTCCAGAAGAATTGCAGGAGATTCTGAAGGCTGTGGTTGAAGCCAATGGCAATTATACTGAATATATTTACTCTTTAGTATTTCAAATTATTTTTTTTAATGTGTAATTTTGGTAAATATGTCTGTTAAAATGAGATGTCAGTGTTATTTTCATTTTTGTCTAATTTAGACGATAATTTATCTAACACCCTGTTTGTATATATATATATATATATATATATATATATATATATATATATATATATACACACACACAAAAATTATAGCAACATTTTTCAGAAAATTGTTATCACTCAATTATCTTTGTAGTTATTTCCAATGAAAAAAAAATTTAGACGAATAATTTCAAAGCAGCAGTGTAGATCTGAAATTGATTTGATTTCTTCCTTATGCTATATATAAAAAAAAATTATCATTTGGCTTTTAATCAACTTAGTAAATTGAAAATTGTTCATTAGATGTTAACTGCAGAAGACTAGTTGTATTTTCTTCCTTTGAATTTCTAACACATTCAAATGGTTAGCAAAAACATGTCTAACATGATTAAATATTAAAATAAGAATTTTAGCTGATCAAAGTTATAGTTTTCATTATTACTTTTATTTGGGGAAAAAAAAAAAAAAAAAAAGACATTCAAGCCAAATATCGAGGTAAAAGTAATATGCAACAAGAATTGATAATTTACCTTAAGTGGCATATGTATGATGAAATCTGTCAAGAGTCCATGAATACGACCAACATAAAATTCCTATAATAAAAAATATTTCCCAAATTTAGTAGGTCCAAGTCATAGTAGACTGAGAATAAAATTGCTTTCTAATGAAGTTCAATTAATAATAAGCAAAACATTTTTTTCTATTTTTGATTTTAAACATCACCTATGCTGTGGTAGAATATGCAGATATCAAAATAGTGTGTAGAGAACTTTTTAAACAATGGGCCATCATTGAATTTCTGCAACAGACAAGGAATCAGAAACAATTGCAAAATGCTTAAAAATATATTTGAATAGAAGAAAGAACAGATACTCTAGTGTTGGATATTATGGAAAATTAGAAATTATAAGAAAAAAAAAATTACTTGTTTACAGTATGACCAAGTTTGTGAATAAAAACAAAAAAACCTTTAAGTTAAATTTGTGTTTGAAGTGAAAACAAAATATAAAATTTGTTTGAATTTAAGAGTTGAGGATTTATCATTATGACTTGCTATTTAACGTAACACCTTGGTTATATTTTTGCCACTGTATCTTCCATTCTTAAACCTAATGTCTGTATTTAGTGAAACTTTTCCAAGTGTCCTTTCTTGATCAAAAGCTCCCAGATGGTATTCATCTCTATGCTAGGTTTATTGAGGAGGTTGCCAATGCCTAACATATACACAGATTCTTTCAGTCAACTTACCTCCTTGTGTTATTTTGTCTATTATCTTGACCTCATTCCACAGCAATTAATGATCACCCTTTTTTCATTCTATGCCTGATTTCAATATCTTTCCCTAGACTAAAGTTACCCCCCACACACAAATAAAAGTTGAAGAATATCAAAAGAGAGGAGGAGGATAAGTGACACACAGTCGAATAAGGCAGATGAATATTGATATGAAATATCACCTAAACAGTGAAAACAGAATGAGAAAAATGTACACTCATAGATTAAATGAAGGGTTCTGTCCAAAATAGACACTTGAAAAAGTGCTGTGTAAAAAGATTGACTAACCCTCTCTACAGCTATTATTGAAACACATCCATCCACCATGAGTAGAACATCTGCTCATAGAACAGTGGCAAAAAGTGGGTTGCAAAAGTGTAGCATTTTCCAGTCATACTGAACTAATATATTCTTAATCCATGTTCTCAAGTGATTAAACCCTTCTTCATTCAACCTTTTGCTTCCAGTGGTTTCTTTACAGTCTCACTAATCAGAAACTATAAAGTTTGTATGATACAAACTTTATAACAAAAAGGCTGGAGGGCACAGTGGCCAAAACATGAGCCAAGATGAACATGTTAGTCTGAATAGGAAACATTTAATGAAATACAAACTTACAATTGTACCTATAAATGTAACTGTTCTGCCAAATTTAAATCATAACTTTTGAACTATCAATACAAAATAGTAAGGATTATTCATTATTTTCCAATTTATCAGCTTTAACATGAAAAATTGTAACCCGAGAAAATTTTTTTTAAGCTGAAAGTGTTATAAATACAAATTTGGGAAAGTTGTGTCATTTGACAAGTAGAAATGTTAGATTAATAAAAGTATTATATCTATTAAAAAAAAAAAACAACCCCTCATAAATTGAATTTTTCACTTAGCAAAAATAATTTTGAAAAATGAATTTATATTGGATATAACACTAATATTTATTGCTAATGCTCTTGACAATTATTCTATTTTCTAGGGGTGAAGTTTTTCAAAAAAAATGCAGCATCATATAATATGATATATAATATCAGAAAAATATTTTAAAGAAATAGTATTAGGATTTTTATAACTAAAATAACTTTATAAATCTATAAAAAAGGTTAAAAAAATTAAAGATAACTTATAAAATTTAAAAATATAGATTATTATAGAAATCTGATTTTAAACTTAGTCAATTGAATGAAATAATCCAAGTGTACGAAATTAATTTGAGAAATTTTAACAGAAAAATATTTACACATAAATCAAATGTCATAGCATACTGATTAATTCTATTTAAAAAAATAGAACAGTGAATATAGTAATGAATACAAACCTCTTCAAAGAAATGTGGAGCTGCTATAACTGCTGTTCTGAGGAATGAAAACACTTTGTCTTTAATGGCAGAAAACACAATGTTTTCATCTTCTTCACAAAATTCATTTATTCCTGAAATAGAGAAAAAGTTATTCATTCAATCTGAACCATATTCTCAAAACTTGCGATATTTAAATGAATGTCAAACAAATGAGAAGCTTCCTTATCAAGTTTATGCCTATACTCACTTTTCTTAAAAGGATATTATACCTATGAAAGCATTAATAAAATAATTCATATTTTTAAGTAGGTAATTAGTAGACTTGGCAAATGTTCTGTTCCATGATATTTTTTATAGAATACAATGCATACAATAATTCATTTACATCTGACAAAACTATAATACCATTATCAGTCAATGAAAACAAAATAAAAATGGTAAAGTGAATTATAAAAAGTCCTTTGAATTTAATTCTTAAATTAAAGTCTCTAAGATTGTTAAAAGATGAAGCTGGATTAAATAGCAGGACACCCCATTTATGCAAGAAGAAAACCTTCATAAATTTTATATTTTAAAAATGTTTAATTTTATACTTTAATGTTTTAAATAGTGTTTGCCAAAAATAGTATTTGTGTTTGAAAGTCAAAGGAAATATTAATTTAAAGCTTTAAAATTATTTTTTTTATTAAAAAATGTCCCGAGCTCAGATCAGGAGAGAGTTTAAACCACAAAGATTTAGAAAATTCAGAGATATACGAATTTATAAGAAAGAATCATAAATTTCTTGATAAATCATTTAGAAGTAATTTTTAGGTTTACTTTCATACACATTGAAACATATTTATATAAAACAAATACAAAGTCTATATTAGAAATGGAAGTATTATGAAAAAAAACTTATCACTAATTATTTTGTGTTTATTATTAAAATTAAAATGTTTTATATTAATTGCTAAAACATCTATTCTGAATGCTGTCAAGGTAAAAAACAAAGTCTATTTACAATATACAATGTTTATAGTAACACTATCTTCAAACCCAAAATGCCTTGTGGCATTCAAGCTAAGCACACCTATTTGCTCAAACATTCTGCCTTACCAATATCAGAATACCCACATAAGTATAGACATAAAGATATACTCATGTAACAAAGCATTGTTTCCTAAAATTAAAATTTATCAATTTTTTTAAGTGAATAAAAAAGAAAAAAATGTAATATGCTGAAGTAATAAAAATGTCAGATTAAAACCAAATATATTAATTCTTTAGAAATAACTTGTCAAACAAATTAAGCAAAATTTTTTATCTTTCACTGAAATGACTTCGATATATTTTAATAATTTTTATTAAAAATTATTTTTAAATAATCAAACCACCAGAATTTTTTATATTAATAGATTTTTGTATCATGTATGTTATAAAATTCAAATTTGTTTTAAAACTCCAGATATTAATCAAAGGAATAATCTTGATTAGTTTTAAAATGGAATCTTTCTGAGTTTCTTCAATGATTAAGGATGAATTTGCAAAAAAATTAAAGTATCAAAATCCCACAAATTTCTTTCACATAAAATAAAAAAAAAAATCCTTATGGTATCTTATGTTGACTTTTTTTTTTTAATATCAGAACTTCATACAAAATAAATAGATACAGTAAGATAATTGATTTTTTTTAAATTTTTTTGCAAACAACCAAAATATTACGCGTTATCTTCAAAAACATTTCCTTAGAGAATACAAGTTTACAACAAATTCATTATTTATACTTTCAACAATGTTTATCATATGCAATAACATTATTTACCTGGTGCACAGGGATGTTGGGAGATGTACAACTGACGCAGACTTAAAGCCCAAGCAAAACAAGCCACGGCTTTGATCTCTGGGTGACTCCACTGTTGGTCTAATACAAGGATTTGATGAATACTTCGAATGTATTTTTCATTATTAATCATGGGCAAGTTTTGGATGATATCTAACAAAAAACAAACTACAGTTCATATGCATGTATATGACAATATGATCAAAATGTTTAAAATATAGAAAGAAAAATATTCTATATAGATAAAATTGTTAAACATAGTAAAACTGTGAGAAGCTTTCATTCATTTTAACATTAATTCTAGAATCAAATGTGAATACATAAATCAAGTTTATAGTTTGAATTCTTTTAAAATGTTACATATGTAAATAAATGCTTAAGAAGCAACTAAGTTTTTACTGATCTTCACTTCTTCAATTATCTGGTCCTTTTACTTTATCTGGTCTTTTGGGTGGGAAGAAAAGAATGGACAGAAGAGATATAGTTTCCACCTTTTCATGTATTTTAAGAAGTCAATAGATGGTCTGTAAATTTTAGAATTTTGGGTAATCGGATGAAGCAAGATCTGGAAATTAAAGGAAGACATGGAATTTTGAGTAGAGATATCTATTTTTGTTTTACAGTTAGTTTCTATCATGGACCCCACCACTACACAATTTCTAACTTTCCAAGTTGTTTGAAGTTACAGTGAACCATTGAATTGCTTGAATACAATTTTTCAGCTAATTCTTCAACTATAACAGCACTATTTCTGTTGACTTCAGACATAAGTAGGCCATTGTTATACTCCACAGAACCTCTTTATAATATATTGTTTAAGCTGAAGTTATCTTTTCTTTTCTAAACCTTTCAAACCATCTTCAGCCATTTCTTTTAAAGAATCTTTCCCATAAAAATAACTATTTTGAGTTGCTTCTACTACACTAGTGCCATTTCCAAACTCCTGGAGAATTACAGAACATATGCACTTTATAGACACATCTATCTTTGGTGTGTGTGTGGGGGGGGGTAAATTAGTAACAGTTGAATCCTACTGTGACTTTTTATAAATTTACTCACATGTATAGTTATCATTTAGGGATTATAGAATAGCAAAAATATCATTCAATCTATCACTATCAGATTTCAGATAGTACTTATTTAGAGGATAATCTGATATTAAGTACTGCACACTACATTTAAAAACTAGTTTCAAAGAAATTTAAAAAGTTTGCTTCTATTGAAAGTTGTACATTTACAAACCTTCTTTATCTTCATGTTCCAGAAGTCTGTTATCAAAACAATACAACAGGGTCATGAGAACACAAAGCGATGCTGGTTCCAATGTGCCATCAGGGTTCCATTTGCAATCCTCTCTTAGGAAAGCAATCAAGCGTAAAGTATCAGCTTCATTCAGAGGGTGTTGAGCAGCCATAGAAAAAATGCACTCAGTTAGAGATAAACGTATCTCTTTGTATAAGTCAACTACCTGGAAAATGTTAGAAAAATCCATTTTATTTTTTTGCATTGAAGTCATGTTATGCACTTAAATGATAAATATATAAGAACTCAGGTTACTTAGTCTGCAAAATGTTAGATTAATCAAGCAGCCAGAGCAGAGATGATTAATGAGAAAAATTATATGACAGAGAAACAGTTTGTTTAAATTGTCCAACTGTTAAATTGTCCCTTCAAAAATGATGTTCTAAAGTTATCTGCATTAAAGCTTTCCTAATAATATATTTTTGCCATCTTTAAAAACAAACACCTAGACAATTTTAATATTGGTCCTTTAACACCTATTTTAGATTTTTTTTTTTTTATTTAAAAAAAAAAAAAAAAAAAAAAAAAAAAAAGCCTATATTGGATTTTTATTTTAATTTTTAGCAAATTAAAGATAAAGTGGAAAAATTTTTTCCACTGTCATTAATTTGCCTAATATTGTTCCAATAAAGAAAAAAATATTCTCCTATTCTAATGTTTATAATTAATGCTGGATTTTATGATGAATATTAATGGGTTAATGCTAATACAGTAATCCAGCTTTCAAACAAATTTAATAAATGAAAGTAGGAAAAAATATTAAAGACAACTACCTAATAACATGTAGTTCCATCCTTCACTTGAATAATAGTAGCTATGCAATATGTACTGAAATCATTGTATGGTATATCTATCCAGATACATTCCAAGGCTGTCTGTAACTGTTCTTGCAGGTAACTGCAATATGTCCCATACATGCTCAATGGTACACTATTTACATTGTTCGGACTATCACCCTCATCTTTGTTACCATATTTATCACAACATTTTGGCCATTGTATGCTTCGGCCTTCTTCAAGTGGTTGGAATGTCAAACTGAACCCATACAATATGGGAACCAGTAATAAGAACTGCTAGAGAAAAAGCCATAACAACAACAAAAATTGCAATATGAGCTAGGGTAAAAATATTCAATGATAACAGCAAAAATTGTAATATGAACACTGGCAAAAATGGTTGCTGAAGACATTAGGTTTATAATACCCAGTAATTCATGCACAGATGTCCTCAAGGACACATGGCACAGTTAGATCCAGTGACAGGACCCAAAGTGTGTGAGTTCAATATCTGGTTAAGGCGGTGGAGAACTTGGAGAGGGGAATTAACAGGAGATAACTGATAACTGACATCCATTAGACATGGCACTAGAACAGACTACTCCAATGAGCAAAATAAAGGGTTCGGTTTGGCATTACAACCACCTGAAGAAGGCCGGATGTACAACAGCCAAAACTGTGATAAATATGGAAACAAAGATGAGGACGATAGTCCAAACAATGTAAATAGTGTACATAATACCTCATCTCAGAAATATAGACAGATGCTCAATGGTGTTTAAATATCACAAATGTAGAGTCAATAGAGTACCAGAAAGTCAGTGTTACTGGAATCAGTTCTATATCACCTGCACAAAATGGAGGGAGTGGGAAGTTATGTTATCTTGATGGAACAAACCATCACCAACAGGAATTATGGTGAACATATAGTGGTGCAAAATGCAAATGGCCTGCAACAAGATCTATGCCATACCTGTCGAGATAATTTCACTAGTGTTCCTTGTAACCGCCCCAGCAGAATACACCCCACAATATAAGTGTTACCACCTACTTGCCCTGCTGAGAGATTGGATTAATAGTCTCATGCAGTCTCCACCACACACAAACTCAACAGTGACCAGACAACACCAGTCTTTCACAGTACAAGTAAGGTGCATTAATAGATGATAGTTTCAATAATGGTACTCTTGTTGAGCAAAGATTACAAAGTTTTATGAAATGCAGTATGGTGTGTTGACCAACAGTTAAGTGACACCAGTGTTGAATTGGAATGTAAACTGATGCAATGTCCCCCATCATTAGGCTGACCTGGGTATGACGATAAACTACATCCACATCCTGGGTAAGACGATAAACTACGTTCAGCAGTAAGAAATCTGATCAGGAGGTTTTGAGGAGGGTGGAACCACCTCTTAATTGCTGGTGCTCCCAGGTCCATCCTGACCCGGGATGGTAGCACTTGTTAGGGTCCCAGCTATGGGCAAATAGTTAACCCCGAAACTGAGGTAAAAAGCATTATAAAAGTGTAAAAATAGGTTTTAATACCAGAAATACTTTTAAAAAATTATTATCAGAAATGAATTTTTTGTAGAAAAAAAACTATTACCAGCAATACGTTTTTGAAAAAAAAAAAATTACCAGCTATACATGTTTTGAGGAAAAAAATATTACCAGAAATAGATTTTTGACAAAACAAAATATTATCAGGAAAAAAATGTTGTCGGCATTAAATAACCCACTGAGGTCGATATGCCGTAAAACAAAATAAACCAAAACCCCCATCATTAGGTGGTTATCATCTTTGTCAGTCACCAGTGGTCCCATTCTCGAATCCCCTGTAGATACTTAGTTTCCATGTGCCACTGAAATCTGTCCAAATTCACATTCTTGATATACCCTGTTGCCATTTCTGTAATAGAGTTCCTCCATCTTTCTCACCTCATTTTTCAATCAAATGGTGTTAAAGCCTATATCTATGCCTCTTTTACATTACACACATTTCATCCAAGTACATTTCTACAAGTGGGCATCCAATGTCAATTTTTTGTCACTTCTTTTTATAAATAAATACAAACTTGAAGTTCGTTAAGAATACCAAAGATTCTAGAATAAAAAAAAATATCCAAAGCAACTAAACTTTCTCTAATTTTTGTTTCTTCTATTGCTACAATAGATCTGATCAGCATAAAACAAATTATCAACACTTTTAAACAGGATTTGCTGGCAATATTTTATATCAATTCTTTTATGGATTGGTACAAACTGTTTAACATTATTTTTGAACTAGCATTTATGATTGTCTAACTTCTCATAAGAAGTGTGTGAGATTTTACATAGCTACAGAAATGTTTTAACACTTACCTTTTATCAAGTGAGTGATCAAGCTACACTTCTATTTATTACAAATTTCCATTATTTAAAAAGAGACTTATTTCCTTTAGCAACTATTGTTAACAAAATCTTATAGTCATTCTGACCATCAATGCAGATTTTTTTTTTTTTACATTTGGTACACTTATAGAGCTTCATGATAGAAATTGAATGGTACCTCTTTTACATCTCTTGCGCAAAGGGTTCCTGACCATTGCCAAAAAGGTGAATTTGGGAAAATAGTTACAAAGTTTAAATATCAATATCTTAGTTGTTTTTTCACCTACAAAGTTAAATTATATACCATTTTAAAGTACTTGGATAGATCTAAAAGGTGATCTATTTATTTTTTGGTTTAATGGTCAAAAAAGATTTGACTGACCTTAACTTTTAATTTCTCAAAAAACATTTAATTTTTTTTTTTTTTTTTAAATTTGAAACAAATTTGTTCTACCTTATGGCAACATATGTACAAAATTTTGTGGTGGACTTTTGATTGTAGCTGGAGTTACAAGAAGTTGGGCCAAATTAAAAATCGCAGATTTGCACATCTGCCATTATATGCTAATATTTTTGTATCTCCCAATATGGTCAAATTGTATATCTTTTAGAAACTCATTGAATGTTGATTAATATTCACATAAGTACTATGATTCTAAAATCAACAGAATTTGTTATTTGTGGTTAAATGTTGACCAATTTGGTGGAAAATAACCTTATTTTTTATTTTGTCTAAATCTTTATTATACAACAAATAGATTTTTATATGAAAAAGTCATAAAAACAAACAAAAAATAAATTAGATCACCTTTTAGATCTATCCAAATACTTTAAAATGGCATGACTCTATAGTGTACTATATACATGTACTAAACATTGATTATTCAGTCTGAATTTCTGGGATGAGGAGTTATTATTTACACTATATTCAGACTATTGTCCTCATCTTTGTTGTTGTTATCACAACATTTTGGCCGATGTGTCCTCCGGCCTTTATCAAGTGTATATAGATCTGGGTAATCAACAGGGAATTCTGAACTGAACCCTTTCTTTAATCTACAGAATAGACAGTTCTTGTTCTACTGCTCATATCTAGGGAAATCACATCAAATTCTAATTTTTAGTATTGCTTAGTTATTGCTCGCCCAATTCCACAGAGCCCAAGTACACACTACCTGGCCCAGGGATTGAACTCACAATTACTATGTCATCAAATCCATTAAGCAAGGCTATTGCCACGTAGCCTAGTGGATTAAAATAATATCCACCTGATGAAAGCTGGCGGGAACAACAGCCGAAACATTGTGATAATAACAAAGATGAGGACAACAGTCTGAATATAAATAGTACAAATATTGGAACTATGATTACATAATCATTAGAATGGATTATCAGAATCAACATTCTTCTAGAACTTGTAAAATGTATGCTGTGCTGCACTAGAAGAAGCCTTACTTAAATGCTATTAGCATATTAAAATGACAAAATGATCTTGCCAACCTGTTTTCTGTGTTTTGGTGGGCCAAGTGCACGTTCCTTCTCAAGTTTTTCTACTTCTTTATCCAAGTCCATATTTTTGACAAGATCTGAAAAGTAATTTTTTTTTATTGCTGTAATTAACTGAAGTCAATGTACATTGAAGAAAAACAAAAAGAATAGTTATAAATTTGAATATCTCCAAAATTAATTTAAATAAAAAGGAAAACGCACATATAAATTTAGTTCAATCATACAAAAAGTATTTGTTGATATTTTAATTATGCTTATTTTGTTCCACAATTAGATACACTTGAACTATTAGCAAACTATCAATATTTAAAGCTATAAAAATTAAAAAGATACATGTGAAAATACTAATATTACTGGGATTTTTATTCAATGAAAAGAAAAAAAAAATTAATATTCTTGCCTAATATTTTTCCAACAAGACCATCATCAATGAGTTGATCAGTATAACTCGTTATAAGATTTGTGACTTCTTGGCTATTGCCCATTGTCCACATTCGTCCATCACGAGCTTGTAGGAGGACATGAAGAGAGTTCACTAACGCTCTTTGACCATCATAATATAGAAGGACTGCTACTAAACCACGACCCAGGCCAGGGTAGTTTGGCTGCTGATTTTGACCTAATACAAATAAAAAAAAAAAAAAATTTTAAAAAAAAATTGTTTAAGATATTTCTTCACTTTATATATCAAAAATCAAAATTTAAATGATTTCAAAAGTAAAAAGAATCAGTAAAAATTAGGAAAAGCTTCTCGCCAAGTAGTCTTAACTCATTCAATTTTCTGTTATATTTAATACAATTTATTGTTCTATACTAATATGAATAATTAATCCAATTTTAATATTTTGCAAGTAGAGTAGCTGGGTAAAGTAATAATTAACAATTACATTACAATTTTATATCACAATGCTTATAAGAAAAAATATATAGATATTTTTTATTACAATAAATGTTAATTCTTTATACATAATTACTAAGTCTTGCGTAAAGCCACAGCAATCAAGCAACCAATGAGGTTCAAATTCATTACATAACATGAGCTTGCTGTCGCATTATAGTCAAAACATGTGAAGGTGATCTGAAAGTAATATATCTCATTTATTTCCACAAAAAACTAAAACAAGTAGAGAGAGCACTATAACAGTGACTAGAGGAAATTTTCAGCCACAAAAACTTTTTTCAGCTGGTCACCACTATACATTTTTTGCCATTGATGAACAAGATCCTGCCTGCCATGTTTGTAAAAATGGCCACACACACACAGATAATACTGCTGTGAAATTTCTTAGCTCCTCCCTGCCTGTTTGTTTAACAGCCACTGTTTCAGATTTAAACCTTCAGCAATTATCAACTGAAGGTCAATGAAAGCATTTTTTTGAGGAAAAAATTCAACTGTTTTGTATATAGTTTTATGTTAGATGCTATTTTTTAGATTGCGACAAAGCAAAAGAAAAAAATTATTGAATTACTAGCAGGAAGCTTCAACCTTTATTACCATAGGATTACATTACTTCTGCCGCTGATGCCATGGTCCAATAAAAGAGAAAAAGAAGCATTATTTTTGTAGTAACACATGTGTGTGTATCCTCCTGCAAGATTTGCATTAATTTTTTTTACCTGAAAAATAACCGAAATTCATCAAGAACAATTTATGCAAATTTTTTCATATATTTAAAATATTGGTGTGGTAACCTTGGTTCAACATTTTACTGCACGAGGGACACAACAGAGTGGCAACCCTGGTTCAATGTTTTAATTTCATGAGAATGCCCAATGACAATTTGAAGCAGGAATTAATTATGATTAAGATGTGAGTAAAGACAGAGAACCTAATTAAACACTGAGAAACAAAAAAGAAAGAAACAAATTAAAAATAATTAGAAGCCATAAAATGAGTTGAGAGAGGAGCTTTGGGTAGATTTGAATCTGAAATAGATCAAGTAGAATTCATTAAGATTTAGTAAAATACAATCTTCCCCAACCTATCCAATTGCCGCCAGGGCAGTATGACAGGATTTATGGTCTTCTGGAATTTCCAAATTCCAAAACAGCATTCTTATTATGTTCATTTAAAATACTATCAATCACAAAACATTTATAGCTTACCAAGTCCAATATAGGGGCTTTTGGAATAAAGTATTTCACAAAAGGCATTTGGGTTTCAACATAGAAGGATTAATTCTTTACTCCGTATATACTTTGAAATTCTTCAATTTCTTATCATTAAACCCATCAGAGTTTCTTGGTTTGTGCCTTGAAATTAGTTTTCAGCAAAGAAGTTACCACAGCTGTGAGGATTTCACACCTGAAATCTCTGCAGAATGATAACAACCAATGGGTAAAATCTATTCTTATTCGTTTCATATTTTACTCCAAATACTCTTTTTACATCAGTATCAAAAGTTATTGTAAGAATAAAAATTTTCATATTTGTGTCTTGCTTTAAAAATGAGGTGTACTTTTATTATTACGTTACTTGTGCTGCCTGCAATGGAAAATTTAACAGAACTTGAAATTAGAAAACTTGGACTATGCTGTTGTGTATGTTATACAATCTATCCATATAATTTATCAAGAAAGTAAAAGAAAAAATAATGGTAACATAGGGAACATTTCAAGAGTTCAATTGCCCAAACAAAATTTGGAATGTTGTCAATAAATTCTAAAAATTATAGGCAATGCTGATGCAAATTTATATGCTCAATATATTTACAATTCATTCGAGAGAAATAAATATATAAGAGTCTTACCAGCAAGCAAAAATTCTACAGCAGCAAACTCATTGACATTGAACAAGTCACTAAAAATTAAAGCTTCATCAATAAAGTCTTGAGATAGTGTCTGTGTTCTCTGCTCTGCATACACAGGTAATCCTTCTTTTGTGGCTTTTTTCACCATTTCTCTTTGCAAAGGGTTCTTTTCCTGAATTAAAAATCAATAAGTAAAACTGATAATGCAATTATTAAAATAATATAATGTTAGAGTGATTTTTCTTTAAAAATATATTCTAAAAAAGAAAAATTTATTTGATCTATTTATTACAAACTTGGAAATTTTCCCCACTTTAATTTCTTAAAGTGGGGAAAAAAAAGCAGATTTTTGGGAATATAAATTAAAATATTTCTGAGAATGAGTTTCCATAACAGAAATGTTATTACCCAGCATTCTTTTCTAACTTAAGCAACTGTTAAATAATTTATATGATACATAGTTAAACAGGATAATGCAGATCAATTTGATTATAAAAAAAAATAAGAGAAACTTTTAAATCAAAAACCTACTGGTGACTTCAAGAGAGTAAGAAAATCCGGTTTGTGACGGCGAAGTATGACTTCCAAGTCATGTAAGGATTCCATCTGCTTTTTCAGCAGTACAGTGTCTACAGCATCATACAGCTCTTTGAAAGGTGTCCACAGTCTAGCACCTAAAATGATTAAAGGTTTATTTATTACATACAAACATATAGACATCATAATTCTCCAACATTTAAAGATTTTGTGATAATTTTTCTTTGTCCTATGATTCCAAAATGGATTAAGGATTGAAAGATCAACTTATACTTAAAAACATAAAATTGCCATTGATCTAAATTAGCAGAAAATCTAAATCAATTAGAAAAAAAAGATTAATGACACAATCATCCTTTACTTTTTAAAGCAATAATTCTGAAAAAGTTTACTCAAATCAAGTTGTGGAATATTTCATTTGATAAACTGTACAAGGTATTCTTTTATTGTTAATGATTTCCATATAATTATGCTGTATGATCAATTTAAGAGAAAATCTATTCTCCACCTAATGTGTTTTACACATACCAATACATCTAAGAAAAAAATAGTTCAAAGAAATAGAGCAATGTACAGGAATACTTCTAATAGCACATTCAACAAGTTATAATAGCAAGTATTACTTAAAAGGCTGGACACCAAAATAGCAGCATGGTTTACAGAAGCTTAAATGATATAAAAAAAACTTCTATACAAGTCAGCAAATAAAGCAAAAAAAAAGATTCCTAAACAAAGCAATAATATTCTTTATTTTGCAAAGAATTCTTTCAATAAAAAGGTTTAGTTGTTGATAAAAGAGCAAATTTTGCTGAAATACAATAATTTATTTTTTTTAATTTCAAATATTAACATATGGTTCTGTATCCAAATAATCAAAGTTTGCTAAAATTAATTTTTCTTGTCCAAAAATTAAGATATACAATGTGGAACTTTAGAAAAATTTTAATTTTATTCATATAGCAAATCCAAGAAACATGAATACGAGTATTATTGAATTAAACACATTTTACAAAGTTCTTATATCTTTCTATATATTTGCTTGCAAGTTATATCTTAAAAATTTAGTTATTAAAAAAAATCCATGAAACCATTAAATGAACTACAATTCACAGCTGGTGTCTTTTGAAAAAAATATTTAAATAAAAAAAAAAAAAAGAAAAAATACAACTTTTTCTGTAGCTTTACAGACATTAAAATATTGGAATTACAACAAGAAAAATTATTATTATTTTATGTGCCTGGCATCTAAGGAGTATGGGATAGTCTAAAAGTACATTAGAATTAAATTTTATTATGTTTTGTTATATTTGGTATACAAGATAAATCTTATAAAGTACTTTTTTCTACAGTGGACATATCTGTAAAAATTACTTAACGAATATAAAGTGAGCACCATTTTTATATAATTTCTAACTACTTAATAATCTTGAAAATTTAGGAAAATATTTTCCGTAATGTTTTAATGAATTTTAGTGACTTTGTTTTAAATTTACTATAGTTATCACTCTTATTTTTTGATAATGTCACATATGGATGTCTGTATTTACAAAAATCAGCACACAAAAAAAATTATTTTTAAAATATGGGGTAGGGGGCTTGCTGAATTGTAGTAACCTATTGCATTTATAATTAGTAAACATGGTTTTTATTTAATAACAATATCAACTAACCAGTACAAATTAATACAGAAATTTAAAAAATTTAAAACTTTATAAATCATTCTAATAAAAAATAGTTTAACAAAAAAATTATAATCTTTACTTAAAATATTTTGAAACAAGCATTACTTAGTTTCTGTGCCAAAAAGAAGTAGTTTAAAAATAAAATAAAGCAGATCATAACATTTTGCGTCACTTGACAGGTGATGATTGATTTCATTGCGTTTTAACCTCTTATGTGAGGAAAATTTATCATACGGGAGGACAGAAGTGATATTTAGAAGTTATTTAGATTTAAGTGAACAAATTATTTACCTTGTTAATTTTAAGTAAAAACTTTCAGCACTATTTTTTTTTGTACTTAGCTTTCACCTTTACATTTACGATGCTTTATGGAAAATATATTATAAGAAAATTAAAACAAGACTGTTGAGAGTGAGATTAAATTTCACAAGAAAGGTACCTATAAAATTAATTAGATACCTTTCTTATGAAATTTTATTTTTTTTTGTACATAAAATACTATAATTTTATGTACATTTATTACATTTTACTGTGTTATTTGTATTTCCATTCATTTTATTATTAATTTTGATATTTCATTTATGGAAAAATGTCATAACTGAAATTAATATAAAAATAACATCATATAAATTTCTTAAGATGATACTACTAATACTTGTAGGCACCCTTCTCAGTTGAAATTGAAAAATCAAATTAACTTCTCCACATGTGTTTCACAAAAATAAAGGCCTTAGCGGAGAATAATGCTTAACTCAAATAACGCAACTTAATTGTTTTTTTGCTGGTCTCCTGTACTTTATAATTACAGCCATAAACACAAAAAACACTTGGTACCATCAAGGCCCAAAAATAGATGCGTTTAACGGTCGGGTAACCGAAATGAAAACAAAGTTGTCCCCCACCCGTTTAAATTTTTTTTTGTTTTTTTAAATCAGGTAATTATAAGATTCAAACAAAATTCTTGGTACTGAAGTGTACCAAAAGTGGATAAGTAAGAAGCATATTTTATTAGAAATCTTTGTGGAAATATTTTTTGCAGGGTCTGTTTCATCTCCTTTTTTTTTTCCTTCTCAAAGTGTACATATTTTTAATTTGTAGGGAGGGGAGTGTTTGTGAAATTCTTTTATGTGCGTGTTTGTAGGATAGCATCTGAAACAAAAGTGGAAAATCGCATCCACGAAGGACTTGATATATAAAAACAAATTTAAAATAAATACTGAATAAATAAATAATCATTTAAATTTCAAAATTATTAAAACTAGTTAGTGTCAGAACTTTAAAAAATATAAAATACTGTCTGTGTTATCGAAATTTAAGCAAATAAACTTTCCTAAGAAAATACTTTTTTAAACATCGTAAATTTAAGTGTTTTTGTATTTTTTAAAGTTGAGATAAAATATTTTTTTTAGACCGTTGCCTTTAAAAATAAAATATTTCGGCATCTATACAAAGGCTTCCTTAAATTTATTTTAGTTTGTTTCTTTTTGGCTTTTACTGAGGAAAACTGAAGAATATTGACTGAAAAAAAAATGCAGTATTAAGATTTTTAAGAACAAAAACACCAGTTTGAAGAATGAGGAATAATAATAATAATTTTTTTTTTAATAAATTCATATTTAAATTTTTAAAAATAAAATTATTTGGCTATGCAATAACATTTTTCTTTAAAATATTTAAAAAGCAACAAGGATTTTTTTACCAATTTAAACACACGAAAGAAGGCTTTTTTTTTTAATTTTTTTCCGGGTGATGATTTTTACGCTCCTACTTTTATCTAAATTTTACAAAGAAAATTAAACATTTTTGAAAAAAAAAATTATCGCAACACAAGTTTCTGTTTAAGAAACTTTCTTTCCTTGCCTGAAAACATGATTTTTTTTAATACGCAAAAATATAATGATTTTACTTAAAACAATATAAGTAAACATAAATCTAATAAAAGTTAGGGTATCACATAAGTTGTTTCACTCATTTTCACAAAATATCACAAGAAATACCTGAATTCACCGCCATCTCAACAGTCGCCATGATTTTCAATATAAATTTGGAAAAAAAAAAAGAGAGAGAGATATGAATTACCTCCCCCTTACACTAATTCCCGCTCAAAAATTCCCAAACTTTGATTTGTTCTTATACATATTTTGAATTAGAAATTATTGAAAATATCCTATTCTTGATAAATATTAAATACGTTTTTTTAGCCTATAATACAAATGTTGATTTGATAAATTCATCTAAAAGAGAAAAATAATTAAATCTAATTTTGTAATGTTTATTCTAAAGTGTTATTTGGTAAAAATAAATTAAAAAAATAATATATGTATGTCATGTTCTTATTGACGTGAGTCTTACTCTTAGGGGTTAAAATGAACAGTTAAATTTAACCATGCCAAGAAGATTAATGAAGGATGATAATGACGAAGAAATACATGGATAATTTTAACAAAACAAGATAAGGAATTTATTCAAAAATTTGCATGCTCATTTCAGGAAAATAAATCAGAATTCTTAAAGTCCATAGTTTTAACATGTTGTCATGAAGAGGAAATGCTCATACAACAGATTAAATGATCTGACACCAAATAATATTAAAAAATATGGTGTGCATGCATTCAAAAATAGATGAACAGAGACAGTTTAAAATACTTAACTTTCTTGAATTTTTTAAGCAAAAATTCTTTGAAGCACTGTGCGCTGATTAGAGGCTGATAATACAGGGTGTTTAAAAAAATTTGATATCCTTTGAGATGTAAATATCACAGAAAGTACATGATTAAGGCAAATGAAATTAAAAAGTATTAATGTTGAAGATCGTAAGATTTAATCTTCCAAATCTGAATGAGAAATTCAAAAGCATGTGGATTATGTGAACGATTTCACAAATGTTCAATATGTGCACCGCCTGTGACACGGCATTTTTATACCTGTAAAGAAAAAGATTAAAGATTAAAGAACATAAAAATACAAATAAGAAAAACACAAAAACATAAAGACATAAAAACATAAAACAAACATTAAACATAAAGATGCTATTAAAATTTGAAGTCATTTGAAGGAGATCTAACAAGTTATTAGATTGTGAAATGATATCAAATTTTTTGAAACACCCTGTATAATTAAAAAACAAAATCAAAACCTTTCACATGACTTCAGACACTCTTCTTATTAATCTAATTTTGTCATTTTATATCAAAAGTAATTTTGTGTATACTTGCTACTTTCTGTCCTTCTTCTTGGCTCACTGGTTAATTTCTGTGAAGGCAAAAATCTCACATAGGCTTGCAGACTTCTTTCCTTCTTCTTCCTTAGTTCTTTAAATTTGAAGGGAGTAATTATTATTACGCACTCACTACATTCTCATACGATCACCAATGTTAAGTAACATTGAGCCTGGTCAGTACCTAGATGAGTGACCTCTTGGGAATACCAGGTGCTGTAAGCTTCAGTGTGCGGATAGAGTAATAGCTAATGGCTCAAAATGAGAAATCAGAAAGTCGGGTTCATTACATTCACTTATGTGAAAATACCCTTTAGAAGAAAAGAAGACCAAAATTTCACCATCTCTAAAAATAAATGGATAATAAAAATTGCCAGACAAACAAAGTCAGTGTTCAACCAACCAATCAGAAAACTTTAACAACCAGGATAAAAGAAAAGAAATAAACAAATAATAACAAGGAAACAAAAATTTCACCATTTCTAAAAATAGATAGACCAACCAATCAGTAAGCTTTCACAACAACAAGGCACAAGCTAATGAGAAGTGAGCAGTCCTTTCCAAAATGGATCTATAGATGTGTATAGAAACATATGGAAAATCAACCAAAACCAGATTCAATAAATTAATTTTTGTCTATTCTCCAATTATGAGGTCATCATAACATACACAAAGATGAAATACAACATCTGCATGACTAGCTGGCAACTTTTACATTGAAAACAAAAATACCTTCCTTCATCACATGGTCAAGCGGCAGTACTACATTTGGATACATGCATACTTGCATAAACATATATATATATTTAATTCTTCGCAGACTCTTTTGCTGTCTGTATATCTTATGCACCAGGACTTTTACACATGAACTCTTGAAACTTCAACTGTTAAATTATTCTTCTGTATTATTATATTGTGTTATAAAGATTTATTTTGCATATATCAACACTGTACATTTTGCTTTAATCATTACACAGGGCTAAAATACACCCAAATCAACTATACCAATATAGGGAGGTAATGGACAGTGTCATAAGATAACCTAATAACCTCCATAAATCTATCTCTTTTCCCCAGCTATGGGTTAAATAGCAAGACAGACTGGGTCATATAGCCTTTGTTGGCAATCAGTCTATTTTAGAAAGTAATGACAGTATACTGTGGGAATTCTTCTGACAATTCAATGTATAAAAATCTATATAATAAAAAGAAATGCAAATTTGTTACGGATTTGAATCAACCCACAACAAAGAAAAGGGTGTTTAAATATAAAAATTTAAAATATTTTTATTTTCATGTTATTTTACAACTAAATTTTCCTTGGTGCATATGAGTGTTAAAGTTCATACAGACCATATTTGTATTTGTTAAGATGAAAAGAAATTTGATTACTTTGCATGTATGCGTGAAAATGAAGAGGCAAGGAAGAAAGTGAAGAGGAAAGTGTAAGTTTCACATAGCTTAGTGAGGAAGACAGGTGAATGATTAAGGGAATTTTCTATTAAGCATCATGAAACTTGCCAACTGTTGTCCTTCTTTACTCTCTTACTGCTTTGTCTGTTGTAGAAAGTTTGTTTAAATACCCTTCAAAGGGATCACAAAGCATGTTTTTTATTGTTGATGGGTATGTGACCTGATGGTTGAAAAATGTTAAATATTTATTTTCAAAGCATTAATTAACCGGAAGAAATGCGAAATCTGCTTACTCAGAAAACATTTTTTTGCCATTTGGTGTTTGATTGTCATGGTGTTTATTTTCGTCTTTGCTCTATAAATTATATGAAAGGTTAATAAAAAGATGAAAATAAAAAAGTAATAATACAATAGACTAGATTTGTTTATTGCACTTTCTTTTGAGAGGAATATTTTTTAAAATAATTATAAAAAGAAAGCAAGCTGGTTAATAAAAAAATGGCCTGAATAAATTTGATACATAATACTTTGTATATGTGAGGCTAAAGTTGAGGTTGTAAAAATACCACCAAAATGAAACCTAATGCATTATGAAAAAGATACATGTGTAAAAATTGTTTTTAAATCTGTAAAAAAATAGAGGTTGTTGCAGAGAATGGGTAACCTGGAAGTCTGTCAACTTGTCACTGTTGTTGTTACTGCTGTAAAGGTTAATTTCTTCTTCACCTCAGCAAACTTGAATTCATGGAAAAGGAATACATCGGATTTGGGGTAAATAAACGTATAATTTATTTACATATATACAAAACTGTTGTAAATACAACAGAGTGGGAGAGGAAGGAAGAAACAGAAAGAGAAGGAGAAAGAATGTTGTTGGCTGTCAGCTGATGTTCTGTGAAGATGGTGGCTTCAGCAATGAAAGTTGAAATTGATAGCATCATGTTCAATGTGTCTGCCATGTCCTTGGCTAGCCTCTGTGTGTCAACATTTCAGCTGGGTTTCTGACCTTTGCAGCATTGAACTGGGGAATTTATATCAGTCATTTTGGCTCCAAATCACAGTTTGGGTCTTTTAGCAGGAGTCATTTTTACTGGCCAATATATATTTCATTTTATTTCATTTAATACTGAAAACATGCATTGAGCCATGATGCACAGAGACACGTTTTCACATTCTGCTTTGGGTTGTCATCCTGTTTATATAAAAGAGTGTAAGAGACATGACAAGGCTCAAATTTTATAGTCTGAAAACTTACCAAAATAAAGTTTGTGAATCTGGAGCTGGTTTGTGGCTATTTAAAAAGTCAAGCTAGTCTAAGGACCAGAAGTGTTTTGGCAGTCACAGGCTATGGACTGTGGACTGTTTCTGAAAATACTAAGTCGAGAACAATGACAAAAATGAAGAATCAGAAAAAGGATCAGTGAAAGAAAAAAAAAACAGAAAGCAAGCTGAAAGAAGATTCACAAGATTAGATGTATTAACTCTGATTCTGAACGTTTATAAAAATACGGGATTTAACTCAATTTTGAATTTCAGCTTAAAAACTGAACTATTGTTTAAGTTACCCAGTGATGCTTGTGAATTTGCCATCCTTCTAAAAAAACTCTGAGAGTTGACTGTATGAAAGTAAGTGAAGTATGTTTTTGAAAAAAACAATAATTGTTTTTACTTTTTATGAGTGATAACTTTTTTTCCTGGTAATATTTTGTTTTGTCAAAAATCTATTTCTGGTAATATTTTTTTTCCTCAAAAATGTATAGCTGGTAATATTTTAAAAATGTATTGCTGGTAATATTTTTTTTCAAAAATATATTGCTAGTAATAGTTTTTTTTTTCCCTCAAAAATTTATCTTTGGTAATAATTTTTACAAAGTATTTCTGGTATTAAAACTTATTTTTACACTTTCATAATGCTTTTTACCCCAGTTTGGGGGCTAACTATTTGCTGGGACTCTAACAGGTGCTACCACCCTGGGTCAGCAGCAATTAAGCGGTGGTTCGACACTCCTCAAAACCTCCTGATCAGAGGCCTTGCTGTTGGATGTAGTTTATCGTCTTACCCCTGGATGCAGATGTAGTTTATCATCATACCCAGGATGGGGCATGCGCAAGGATGGCATAATTTGTTTTAAGTGCTCTAGTCCTAGCCACTTTGCTAAGGACTGTAAACAAAAAATGCCCAAAGGGAACAGATAAGCAGGTGCACAGATTGCGTCATGAAGTGCATTGCTTTTGTTGCAACAAGGTTGGATACATCTTGTCTGAGTGCCAGGGAAACACTTCAGGGGAGGAGATGTCAATGCCAGTCTCCTCCCCCCCAAAATTAAAGAACAATGCACTACCAGTCATCGAAGTGCTTGTAGATGAACAGAAGTGTGTAGTCCTTGTAGACTCTGGCTGCTCACAGACACTAGTGAACAGATCTGTATTGGTGACACCAGGAGTTGAAGGTGCTGACAGCTGATGGGAAATCACTAAAGTGCTATGGGTATGGCAGAGTCAAATTGGATGTTGTTCATGCTGGACCCATGAACATTGAAGTCCTAGCTGTGGATTGAACATTGCTAGGATTTGATTTTGGGGATTGATGCAATCCAGGAGCTTGGGAGGAATGTGCATCATTAAATTGGGAGAATTCCACTTCCCCAAGGATACCATTTCCATCAACGAACCTCACTTTAGTATGCAATTTGACCACCAGAAGGTTTGGACAGCCTCGTGAAAATGGGCAAGTGGTCAAACACCCGAAAGATTGACAGTGTGCCAGAGTACACTTATGCCTGACACTATCTGGAACAAATTTGACAAAGAACTGCAGCTGTGGCTAGACAATGAATGGCTGCTGTCATATCCTGAAAGTGAGCTCAGTCCATCAAAGGGCCTGATTCCATTGATGGCATTGGTTCAAGAGAACAAAGAGAAGGTTTGGCCAGTGCTTGATTACAGGGAATTGAATGAGTTTGTAGAAGCATTCACTGTTGATGCAGATGTGTGCACCCAAAAAGTTGAGAGAATGGCAACGACATGGAGTGAACATATCCCTGTTAGATTTGCAAAAAGCTTACCTACAGATACATGGTGAAAAGGCATTGTGACCCTTTCAAACCATGCTGATCAAAGGCAAGAGTTATTGCCTTACATGATTGGGATTTTGCCTAAATGTTGCACCTCTCATTATGAGGGCTATCATAGACACAGAACACGTCAATCAAAAAGGACACATCATTTTATATAGACAACATATTTGTCAACAAAGATTTGGTTTCTACTGCACAGGTGAGGTATCATCTATCTAGTTATGGATTTACTTGCAAAGACCCAGAGAGACTGAAAAACAGGACCAGAGTATTGAGCCTGTATGTCTGTGGGGAGGTACTCTCTGATGGAAGTGAAGAAGTAATGTCCCAGACCTTCCAGAGGTCCTTACTTGCTGAAGCCTGTTTTTCTCTGTGTGGACAACCGTGTGTGGCTGGTTAAGAATAGCAAACATCTATATAAAGTGACAAATAAGTTCAGTGTCCAAGGGATTGAACTTAAAGCTGCCAAATATCTTGATTTGCTTAACCAATGCTTTTATCCACCAGAATAATTTAGCTGTTTGTATCTATTCACAAAAAGTAAGCCCAAATAACCAACATTCTATATAACACATAGAGAACAAAACTAAATAATAAGTATTACATCTTTTATTTATAATGTTTAAATGATATATAATAAATCAAGGTAATATATTATCTGGATCAAGGGAATGTTAGTTTTTAAGCCAATTTAAATTATGAAATTTACTTCTAATGAAAAACCTGTGCAATC